AACACATCATTTCACAGAAATTGTCCTACAAAAAAGTGCAAAATCAGCCAGAAATAAAAAAGTACACTCTAACTCAACACATTTTTTAATTCAGAGAAATACAGAGAAAATTTATGCACGTGTTAGTTCGACATAAAGAAAATTATTTCTGGCATATCGCTCTTCTCCATTAGGAGAATCGAACGTCCGCAAAACCGTGCACATAAATCGAGCCAGACAACGCGAAGCGCGCGCCGAAATAAATAGTTTTTAATTAGAAGCCGTTTTTATTGGAACAATCGAAAATAAATAACAATTTCTGGACGGCGAGAGGAATTCGAAAGGGGTTCCGCTAAAGCCGTGCGATCCGTGACTCGGCCTCCAAATGAGTTCGAAATAGAATTACGGCCGCGTTTGCAGAGGAAAACCGAACCAATACTCCGGCTATACGAAGCATACAAATACACCAAGCGTTTTCGGTGATTTTTGAATTGCGAAACTATCGAAGAATCGTCGGTAATTCCACTATAAAATCGAACAGATTCCTACAAAATAGACGTTAAAAATAATACTGAAACGAAGCATTAAGAGGAAACTACAGTAAAAACTCTGTATATATTCTCCACTATTTCTTAGCGTATAGATTTAATAAAATATAATGAAGCAAGTTAAATAAAACGACACGTTTTAGTTCTTTTCCATTCTTTCCGATTCGTCGTTGATGAACGGTAGGGCGATAATTCACGGAGTCTAATGAGGAAACGGCTAAACAAAAGCGTTTATCATCTGGTTTGGCTCCTTTTAAGAAGGCAACGAAAATTTATTTAACACAGTGGAAAGTTGTTTCTCGAATTCGCGAACGGTGGCTACAGCTTGTCCGGGTGCCAACGAGACACGCGTTCCAGAAATTTATGGCCCCTTCGGCGGAATACTGATGGGGGTAGGATTACCCCGGAAGATTTTCGGCGGCTCCTACCTCCAGAAGTTTGGCGGATGAAGAAATTTGAGGCACGTAAAAATTAGATATTCGGGTTAGTAAAGTTCGGTTTTTGTTGGTAATAATGTTTGTAATTCATCAAGCCTATTATTGCCGTTTCCCGTTTGCGCAAACATTCAATATGTAGTATCTCTTCGATGTATCTGGGCCAGAGGAAAACTTTACCGCTATATGTTGTTTTAGGTTTAATTTCAATTTCCCCTGAATACATTTCCTATTAATTTATTTGCATAATTTTCGGCTGTTTCAAGGGTCTTTGATTCCGTCCTTCAGCGAATTCAGACACAGCCCTCTCCGTTGTATTAAAACATAAAATCAATAAGAATAACGAATCAAAAATATAAGTTAGTACTATCGGTAATTTTTCGCAATTTTTTCCGCGACATCATCGCCGAATTACCAGACGAAAAATGGATTAAACGCCGTGAAAACTCTGCGATTTACCCAAAATCGCCGCGATTTATTAAATTAAAATTTGATTAAAAAAAAAACATCAAAGGGCCGTGGAAAATTCGGTCAGTGTGCGGCAACGATGACGTGACTAACAATACGCGATTCAAATCGAATTCGATATACGAAACGATACCGATACGATCTGGCATTGTTAGCGGGGACTTCAAACGCAGACCTTTTCGAATGTGTTCAATGAAATAAATGAACACATTCATTAGAATAGGTCCGCCATTATTCAGGGACGTCATGTATTCGACTGGGAACAACGCCTCGACGTATTTATTGACAGTGACGCGTCGGAATCGCGCCCTAGGACAATGCGGTACATTCCCCCAGAAAATTTATCGCGTTTATTAGGGAATCTCACGCAAAAAGTAGATAACTCCGAGATAATGCGTGGCGCTGTAGATAGAACGAGTTACCAGTGGATTATAAACTCCCTGCTTTGTTTCTTTCGTATTTATATCCCATTCCCCCGCTTATATAAAAATGATTCCGGTACCTATAATCTATTCTCTGCTGCGTGGAAAAATCCGGAACGGGAATTGGCGTTTTTCTAATGCAGGTGTGCAATAGCAACTCGATAATTTTCCCGTGAAGCACACTGCCGTGGTGTGCTCGGGCCGCGATCGACGTTAGAAATATTGATTTCAACTTTCAGTTACTGTAAATATTTGCAGGTCGATTGCTGAGAGCTTTTATAATGGTATTTGTCGGGGGCAGTCAGTCAAGAGAGATGATGTTTGGATTTTCCGATGGAAATTCGCGGCGTAGTTTGCTTAACGTCGATTTATTGAAATCATCATTCAGTTTCCACTCGTTTTTTTTTCTGTTATAATCGGATTTTTCGAAGGATTCGCGTTATGAATGTTGGGTAGCAAATAAGGAAGGGCGAAATTCGATTTGGTTTTTTTTTCGTTTCGGTGTGTTTTCGATACTAATTTCGCCTGTTTACTTTGCTCACTGTTTTCTACTAATATAATGGATTTGAGTACATTCAATACTAACATAATTAATCTATATTTTTATTTCAGTTAAATGAGATCATGAGATCTAAATCAACTTGCAAGCGTCTCCTTTTCAGTACTATACACATTTGAACTGGGTAAATTCCACGTTCCGGGTTCCGGGGAACATTTTGACCTAATTATCGCCGCCTTGATTGATGATTTAAACGGGAACGGAATTGTTAATCTAGAAGGCCGTAGAGCGTTAACACGATCGGCAGATGTCGTTTCGAAGCCACCGCTGATTTAGGCGATGTTGTTAGCGTACATAAATTAAGAGAGCTTGTTAAAACGTAGAACAAAATGAGGTTTTCCCCTTTTTTTTTTGTTCCAGTGTATTTTTTTCCGGTCGCCTAATTAACCCTATAGAAATCGGTCGATTGGTCGCACGAAAATCGATTATTCAAATGTATTATACCGATCGTACAATAAACATTATACCTCGTTGAACGAATTCTCGGGGCGTTCCAATAAAGAAAATTCCTGAGCGAAAGGAGTTCCGCGAGTCGAGGAAACTTTTTTCTTTCGAGTTTACGCAAGGTATATTTTCATATTGATGTTTCTGAATCGAAGCGAATCAAATAATATCCGCAGGTCTGTGTAGTTTGATTGAATGGAGTTGTCGAGAAGAGTTTCCTACTTGTTATTTAAGAAAGGGAAAAGTTAAATATGGAATTGAAAGGAGAGTCGGCGGCGGAGCTTTCGATTTTTATTTTCACCCCCTCGAACTCTCAAATGCCTAAATAAAGACAAGGGTTTGAATAAACTTATTGTCGTCGAACGAAAGATCGTTACATCGATAGCTGTGTTAGGTGTAAATTGAAACTTCGGAAGTAATAATGAATTTCTGTTCACGGGTGACGAATTAAAAATTACTTTTTAAGTCGATATTTCGAGTTAAAAAATGTTACCAAGTATTTAGATTGAGCTAGTGATTTTAAAAGTATTTGTACAGTTAGAAGAAGAGGTTTTATTTCCATCTGGATAGGCCTGTTATCCCTCCGGCTGTGTTCGGTATGGAAGCGAAAAAGGGCACTTTACCTTTCATTTTTCCTATTTCCCGGCGTTTCTGACGAAACAAAAAGAATCATCCGAAAAGTACGAAGTTAAAACAATAATAATCGAACAAATAAAAATTGGCTTCTTTGTCGACGGTGCCCGTCCACGCGAACGCTAAAGCAAAAGCGGAGATTTTCCAATGGTCTGAGGCTTAAAGCACTCCTATGCCTTCGATGAAAAGACCGAGGTTTCAGAAATAACTGAAGGGACGGCTGAAAGGGAAGTAAATCGAGAAAACCGTTAGAAAACACAGCGATTTTTCATGCTTTCGTTGCTCAGAAGATTCGAAATTAAATTTGCACTGTAGAGATACACTCGTAGATATACCCAAAAAAAGTAAAACCTCGTTAGAAACACATTTGTAACAAGTAACTAATTAGCTGTTCCCTTAATTTTTTTCAACCCGCATTATGCGGCTTAATGATGGCGGCGGTGAAAAAGCTAATTGAAAAAAAACCCGACGAAATAACTCAGAATCGAGCACAGAATTAGTGCCATCGAAAAACCCTATTTGTTACTCGCTAGAGCACGTCTGGCTACCATTATTTGTTCTAGTTCAGACAAGTTCTTGTCTAATGTTCCTGAAATTCGGTCAAACTTCGGGCGGCGAAAAAACGCTCGGCGAAAAAGCCGTCCTCCAGCTATCTCTCGAACTATTTCGGGAACGGATATGTGGGCCAACGGGAACCAGGATAAATCCGGCCGGTTAAATGATCCCGCGCAAGCACGAGGATGACGTTGCCGGTTTCCAGGCAACCCGTTTGGTACGCGTGACGTCAAGAACGGCCGGCGAGGGGCGTCTCCTCGCCACGCCGCAACGGCGAATATTTTTAAATGCTAGGTACACCTACCTACATACACCCTATTTTAATATCTGCACGATTCTATAAATACTAAAGTTACGGGATCATTATGGTAGAAATTAAACGAGGCGGAACGAAAGGCCGGTTATCTGGGGGAATTACCGCACGCTCGAGTTTTAGATCTAACCGTTCAGGCACTTACAAGTAGTCTTTAACTGTGTAGAGTATTTGTTTGGGAGATATGTTTATTTAATTATGTAATTAGAAAATTGAATATTACTTACTTTCATGGAAAATTGCAGTTTTTTTACTTCAACAAAAGCCACATTTATATGTCATTTGTCATTATTTAAACACGAAACGATTTTTATTTTAATAAGGAAAAAAGAAGAAGACTTAATTCATGAAATGATATTAACTATAAAGCATATTAAAGTATATCAATTATTCTTACTACATTTACAAACAAATTTCAACAAAAATTGATAAATCGCCTGATTAATTGTACAAATCATCGCCAATAAACCAAACAGTAAAAGACCACAACAACAAATCTAACATTCCACGGTTTCCATGGATTTAAACACCTGTCAAAAGTCAAAACAATTCAAAACAAATTCGCCTAACCTAAATTGTCAGTTAGTTGGAATTGAATTTATGATATCGTTAAATTAATTTGTATTTTGAAAGTTTCACGGAATAATGGCTCAACGACACACCCGACCGTCCGCCGCGTTCAACAAGGAGGCGCTGACATGCGAAAAATACCTGAGCAAGCTGGCGAATCGAGAGAAACAGCTCAATCAACTGTACCCCGCGAGTGTGAGCGCGAAGGAGAGAACGAAGTCGCCGCACGTACAGCGCGAGATAAAGCCCCGACCGAACGTTATACAACAGAACATACCCCGACCGAAGAGTCTGAAAGAACCTGCAGTGACATACGCGGACGAATCCGCCATGGGCGAGGGAACGAAATCTGCGAGTAAACAACGATCGAAGCAAATATCCAACAAGGAATCGTGGAGTCGAATGCTGAAAGAACACAAAGCCGGCGATAAATTTTCGGCTTTCGGCAACTTCGATCCGCTGCGAACGTTGCATTTCTTGTCCAAAGAATTGCAATACCAGCTGCAATCGATTCTACCTAGTCAGTAAAATACCAACGAAACTAATCTGTGTAATTTACAACATTCTATCGTTTCAGGAGATGACAAACTCCAACAAATGGTCTCCGATATGCAATACGCTTTGAAACGAGTCCCCCCCGAATTAGCCTCGCAAGTTTACCTACTGCAAGGTCTCAATTTCCTTCAAGAACCCAAACAACAGATCGAAAAAGACGTAAAGATTCCGCGCTTCTCACATCTCGAACATCCTAATCAAATCTTTTATTCATTACAGGTGGTAGAAGAAGTCGAAACGCTGGATTGCGGGGTACAAACTCCGCACGGGAAATTATACGAGGACAACGAAAAACTCCAATCGGTCTTGGCCAAACTGACGAAGAGCTGCAAGCAAATGGAATCGGTCTGTTTGGACTTGAGAAAAGAGAAGATCGAACTCCAAGAAGAACTGGACATCACCAAAGAAGAAACCGATTTGTTGAAAAAAAGAATCGACCAGCTGGAACATGAGAATGTAAGTTCATATTGATAAAGTGTCCATTTAGCACACCATTTAAAACTGTCTAAGACCATTTAGAGACATTTAGAACTGTCTAGAATCATTTAGAACGCTCCAGAAACATTTAAAACTGTCTGTTATTAAAGAAAGTGCAAAAGTGTAAGTTGGTGTAATTATTTTTAGAAGGAAATCCTTCGCGCTCGTATAAGCAATCTGGAAAAGGAGAAAAACGAGCTCAATAATCAGCTGAAAAGCGCTGTATCGAAGTCAAAGAACCAGCTCGAGCAAGCCACCAATACCCTAAAATCGCAAATAATCGAACTGAAAAGCCAAAAGTCCGCCGTGGAACAAGAGAACGGCAAGCTAAAGCACCAAATTAAATTGGACGCGTTAGAACGGGAGAAGTTTATGTCGATTTTGGCTTTGAGGAACGCGCAAATTGACGAAATTAAAACCGAAATGGGTCATTTGCAGGAAATGGTTAATGAGCAATTACTCGACGTACACAACAGCGCTTTCCAGGATGCGCCCGATGCCGGGGAATTAGGTAACTGTTACTCACCTCGAAGCGGTCGTACCGAACGGATCTGAAACACAAAAAAAAATCGTTTTAAATTCCAGATAAACCGGAGAAATTAGAGAAACATTACGCGAAAGAGGCCGACAACACGTTATCGACGATTACTACCAACGAATTTTCTCCTGCGCCCCAAATGGTGGCGTCCTGCAATTCTTTTCAATCTTTCAAGGATTTGGAAACCGCCGATACCGACGGAAACGGAAGCCTTCCGGATTTGGAGGCCATATTAAAGGTAAATAAATAATTTTTTCCTTCTAGTTTCCGCGCTGTTACAATTGTGGCGTTTGCAGGACGAGCGATTTCAAGAGCAACTCATGGAGAAGCTGAGTTCCCACACCATCATTAAATCGATGTTCGATAAGATCAAAGATACCGCTTACGCCGTCGCGACGTCTCAAAGAGATAAGTAACGAAATGTCGTCGAGTAGTGTGATGTTATTTATTTTTTGGTATTTTTACTTTTGTAATTTTTCCGACGTTGAAAATGATATTTTTATAAAAAAAACACACCGAGTTTCATTCCACGTCGACTGCCACTGGACTTTTGGCTATTTTCCCGGATTAAGCAAGTAACTACGAGATATCTCGTAGTAGACAGTCAACGTGTTAAATCCCAAAGAGGGGGGGATACACGTCGAATTAAGCGCAATTAGCGATGCGATATTTAAAAGGCCCGTTGATAATTAATTTGGGAAATTTGCATTCTGACAGGACGCATTATATTGCAACAAAACTAATGTGCATCTGGCGTTGCGTTCATTAGCAACGAGAGCGATCGCCGTTGCGTGTGATCGATTCGAAAATGTAAATATCCCGAATTTCGGTTAAAACAGCACAGATTATGGCCTGCCACTCATTATAAACGAACACATTCAAACTGTATTCATACGAGATGAAACTTAATTGGAATAATCGCGGACGAATTTAATCCGACCGCTTCCGGATTATAATTTAATTTCGCCGTGATTGACAAGCGTGAATAGTTTTATTTCGTTTCCGCTACAGCGCAATTCACAAGTTTATTATACTCCGTTCGCCATCAGGACATTGTAATAATACCTAATATTTTATGCAAAAAAAAATTAAAAAGTACAGTAATTTTTTGTTTCCTGAAGAAGCAATTCCTGATTTTGTTGTACCTGCACCATCGCCGGGGAATTACCTAACGATTTTATTGCATCACTTGCACCGTTCCTGAGGCGTTCGAACTGGGCTCTAAGTGCTCCCCGCGCGGGGGATGGGGCTTGAAGCTTCCGGGGTTATAATTCAATTCCGCGTTGATTGACAACCGTGAAGTTTTATTCGGTCGACAACGCGGCGGGAAATCGACGGAACGATAGAAATGTGTTTGTATAGCGATGACGTCGATGGTTTTATGACGGCGTCGGACGATGTTTCGTGGGGGCGGGAGCGGCGGGCGCCGCCGCCCGTCGGGTCACCGCACTAACCTGCATATTCGGTTCGAATTCGTGACCCAGTTCCGCCCTAATTGTATCTTAATAATAATTAATTGGGAGTCGCAACGTGCGATTTTGCGTTGCAAAAATCGGATTCGCGAGCCCTTTTTCGCGGGGCGATTTAATTATGGAAACCAATTTGGAGTTTAATGGAGTAAATTTAAAAGATAAGTGAGAGCTGACAGTAATCGTGAAAGTTCAATACAAATCTCTAATCCTTTTTTGGGGAACGATGAGACGGGGAGTTAAAAAATAACGGCTCGAAATTGGATTCCGCCGTAATATTAATTAATAACGGCGAGATCCTTTATAGAATCGATGGAACTGAATTAGTAGTGAATAAAAGAAGAAGGAAAAAATTTCTTTCACTTATGTATAGGTATATACACCGCTCTTTCTTGTGTTTTTGTCAAAAGACATTAAGCTTCTGTAATGAGATTAGTTTTTTACATAACGAGAGCCTAATTATTAATTTTTAATACCTATACTTTCCGGACGAAACTTAGATACTTACTAAAAAAGCACGTAATATAATATTCTTATTATCATTAGCGAAGGTACAGGCACTTAATTTTTCGCAATTATTTTCTTTCTCGGTTTGTTCGGTGATCCCATCAGAATCGAGGAACAATCGGAAACGTGATTAATTATTTTTTTTTAAAGGTCGTGCTTCGTTCTCGTTTTTTATATTAAATTCGTCTGCACCAGCACCATGTTTGCCTGGAGGATGATATTTACTGCAATTATTGTCCGTTGAAACGAAGTCCTTTGTTCCAATACAGCTTTGATTAAAAATTCAAAGCGTAATACGGCAACGGGCATTTTATACCGTTTTTGGAATATAATGTAATCCGTTATAGTGTCTTTTTGCCTAAGAAGCTTTCGTATTGTTTTATATAAAACCTCGTGCTTTAATTTTAGTTTCTATTCGTTAAGTTATACGAATTTATTATTACACTCACAAGATAAAAAATTACACAAACATTTTTCACCTTCATGAATAATTTACTAAACGTTTTTTGCATATTAATTAGTTAGCGAAAATGCCACAGTAATTTACCACAAATTCATCAAATGCGCAGGATGCAAATTTATTAAAATTAAATTAATAATAACAAAAGCAGAAACTTTTGAAGCAGAAAAATGAACAAGCTCTCGTATATCTAATACAAAAAGAAATTTTCCAGGCGAAACATATTTTTTTCCGAAAATCAAAAGAATGGGGTTTATTAGAGAGAAATCTCGTGCATGCAACTATAGAAAGATATATTTCAGTCTTATTAATACTGTTAGTTTCCCTACAGTTCGCAATAACCCCGCGAGCATTATATGAATTTAGTTTTTAATCTTTTTATCTCTACATGTTAACAAGAGAATTTAATTTTTCAGCGAAGGTTCGAAATAAAAATAAATACGAATGCCCGCTGTAAAAGTCACGCAAACGTTACATTTTTATGCGGAATTTGAATAATGGATTACATTAACAAAATTCGCTTTAAAAGCATTTACATTTACGTAATTAGGCAACGCAAACCGAACCGACATCTTGCGAAATAAAGATTTCAATTTCCGCTGCGATGAAACGCGGGCGGAAATCGCCCATAATGAAAATTTCGACGGTTTTTTTTTTCGAAAAACCCCCCCGCAAACCGGACGGAATTCCTGCGTTGAACCGTCATTTCCGGGGATTCCCCCAAAACGCCCCTGCCGGCTGTTAATTAGATTCAGTAATTCAGGCGTGTCTCGTAACGGTGGTGCAATCGTTATTCTAAGTTGCAGGTAAAATCGAAAGACGGGAAGGTCGGAGGTCGCCAAGAAAATTCGATGTAGTCACGACACACACGGCTCGCGGAAAATGGCCTCTTTACTTTTTAGTTTACAGCCAACAAATATTAATTTTAACCACCAAAGCCTACCTATCTATCTACAATCAACGATGAATTAAATGGTATTACGAATGCATTGCGTGTGAGAGAAAATGTGTGTAAAATTTTCCGATGGATCCATCCATTTCGCTTTGGGAAAACTCTGGTTCCCCTAGTCAAAATATTCCTGACACTGAAAAATACGAGGCCTATTATGCAATGTTCCTATAATGGCGCCGCGCCTGCGGTTATATATCTCGGGGCCTCAAATTTCCAGTCACAATAGAAAAAACACGAAAGGAATACAAAAAAAGCGTCAAAAGATAGCATCTTGCGACGGAAACTCTATAGGGGAAAACTGCTAGGAAGCGGAGCCGAGGTTTCCGAATACGGAAAATACAAAAAAAAAACAGGAATTTTCCATAAGCAAATAGTGTTTACTCAAAAATAGTGACAAGGAGACGCCATTAACCCTTCTTTTTTCGCTCTCCGAGCAATTTTCCGTTGATTTTTCCGATCGAAACGAGCCGCGCGTCCTCCGAAGGGAATTAAAATATAATTCAATACATCTAATGGATCTTTTTATGCTCCTCGAGCCATCAGGAATGGCTCGAATCAATTTTTTAAGGCCGCTCCGCTATTAAACCGAGCGAAAAAATTCGACAACTTCTCCTCGGAGATTCCGCGTAATTTTCCAGAGTGATTTATCACGAACAGTACAGTACACTTCTGACCAGATGGTTTAACAGCGGCCGCTGCAACTTTCGCGTCCCCCGTGTCCGAAAGTCGTTTTCCATCGCAAAACTATGTCCGCGTTCAACAATCCCAATGGGTTTGCGGTTAAATGGCACCGTCCGTCGTGCAGCTGGACAGAATTTTGGCCTCGTTTTTGGCAAAACCGGGACCTACAAGTTCTTTCGCTATCGAGGAAAAATCGCTTTTAATCGATTCCATACGGTAGGTTTTTTAGAAATGTACTAATTTCGAAAGGAAATTGGATACAAAATTCTATTCTCTTGAATGGACGAATCCTGTCGCTCGCGATTTAAGATCCATTTGTAGGTTTGATGGAGACGAATCGAAATTGGAAATTATAGGGAGTAGGTGTAGTAACTTTCGTTAATTGATCGGTAATAATTTTTCACCGGTATACACTTATCCTGGTGGTGGTGAAAAGCGGCCCTTTCTGCGCGTAGTTTCTGTCCGCTGTGCATTGGCGATGATTTATGAATAATGCCCGTCATATCCAAATAATAAATCATACATTCTGTCGAGTACGAAATACCTGTGCGCTACGCTCCGATATATCTGCACACAGGCCACAGAATTATATCTTTACGCTGCCACATTCAGATATAAATGATGCATTTTATGTTGAATATGTATCGCTCGGTATGTGTGTTTGTATGTAGACACGGGCCCACTTACCCCCGAATGTTGTTACGCTCCATAAACAGCCATGTATGATAGATATCTCGGTTAAATTATACGATTAATGCGAACCACATTCGAGATTATTGTTGTTTTTAATCAATCAAATATTTCGCTGAGATCATACATTTTCTATAGGTATATAAATATAAATTCTTTTCGTAATGTCTACGATAGAATTCCAATCCAATAAGTAACTACTTCAAATAGTCTCGGAGAACTCAAACAAAATATTTACGTAATCGATCCCCCCATCAATAATTTCTAATTCCCTTTTTCGAATCCGAAATGCAAACTCGTCTGGAAATCGGGGGTTAATTTAATTGGCCTTAAAAGGCAAACATAAAAGTTCCCCTTCTAGATTGAAATAACAGGTAATTCGGAGAAATAACAATCCGCAAACGTCTGAAATTCCATCCTATCCTTCTAAATAAAATTCAGACGGGCTCCCTTGAAAGGTTTCTAATATTATTTCGTCGGCGAATTTTTCCCGGGGATTTTCCAAAAATTAAACCGACTACTCTATTAAATCGGCTTCATTTTTGATTGGTTAAGTGACTTTCTCACTTCCTTAAATCACTCTCATTGACTAGATAACTGACTCTTTGAAGTATATTGACCCAATACGATGGGTTATACATTCTCGAACATTCTGTATATCTAATGAATAAAGCTTCTCGGTAGCCCAGCAACAGTTTAAGGAATAATAGCACTTCTTCCAACTTCATAACGACGCCACTATTAGAGCCCGCGAAAATCACTATAGTAAATTACGAGCGGGAACTGCACACGTTTACCGAATTTCGTCGCAAACTGCACTTGCACTTCGCAGAAGACTGTAATTCATTTATTATGGGGGGTAATTTGTATGCAACTATGCAACCAACGCCTTGGTTGTCCCGAAGTTTTTTTTTTAGTGGACAACTTTCGAGCACCGGCGTATTGTACTGGGTGTAAGTGGAAAGTTCTAATTCCGCTTGCGATATTATATAAATTAGAGTGGTGATAAAAATGATGACGTCGCGACGCCGTCGCCTAGTTTTAGTGGTTAAATGCGGTGGATTTTACGAGCCTAGCTCGGTAACTTGTGCTGATTTATGGGGAAAGAATCGCTGTTAATAAAGCGATGGGGATATCCTGTTTTTTTAGGTATTTAATACAATTGGGTTGTATTGATAAAAACTAATCATAAACTCGAAAAAGGAATATTATATGAGGGATATTTACAAAATATTAGCGTGGATATGAATCGATTGTACTCTATAATAACCATAATCAGGTGCAATCGGATAAAAAATACACAAAAAAAAAGCTTTATCATTTAATATTTATACCCCACTAGCGTATCAATCCAATAACATTACCACTTATTTATTGTACCAGGTGAATAAAAACGATTTTTCCAAGGGTAAATTATAATAAAATATCGATAACTTTTGGTGCCGAAAATGCGGTAATAGCACCTTTTGAACCATCAGAATTCCTGCTATAATAAATTTACGCGAATTGCGATATTAACCAGGACCGTAATTGATCTAAAAAATACAAATTATATGATAAGGATAGGTATTATAAGATGAACATTTCTGCCCAATTCTTATTACTACCACTTTTGGGGGTTGCAAAAATTATATCACCGAGCCTAAATTAATAATCCATCTAAAATTCCACCGCTCCGTCTCTGTTTAGAGCAGGAAGAACCGCTGGAGGAGCGATATTAATAATACCTACAGCAAAACGTGAAAATAATAAAGCCGCCCGTCTTATTCTATACACCACAAGAAATTCCTGAAATATTTCATACACCCTCTTTAACAGATGATATTATTTCCTTGAGAATTTTGAGGAACCGTTGATATTACCCGCGCCTAGTTAAACCGGAGTTTACTACAAATCCGCTTCCCACTCGATTTAATTGCTCGTAATTTCGGCTTGTAGTCGTATGGGAGACGCGAGGCTAATTAAAATCGCGCCGAAATTCAAAAGCTACGTTCGCGAAAGGTGTATCGAACAATTAGATTTTCCAATAAGAATCTCGCGTCGGAATAAAATCCACTTCATCAAAACGAATCGAATCCAATTGACTTTCTGTTTGTCGGCATCCTCCGGGGAGGGCGCGTTTTTAGCGCGAGCGTACGCGAGTTCGATTCGAAATCATCGCGATATTCCGTCGTGAAATATCGCGGAGACGTCGTCGTTACAACGGGGAAATTATTTAATTAAAATTTAGTGCGACTGGAGGTCGTGTCGGGCGCCCTCCCTCTTGCGTGATATAACCGGATCCAATTGCGACATCCGAGAACATTCGTTTACGGCCGAAGAGCGCTATAATTTCGCTTTCGACCGAAAATGCCATCGCTGTACTCTTACAAAATTAAAAAAAAAATCATTGTTTCGAATGTTCGGATGATATTTGACCGAATTGCTGTACTAACTGAGGCCACAACAAGTCGAAAATGAAGGAAAAGAAGAAACTCACGTCAAAATAGTTTCAAAACGAACTGTCAATATAGAAACGTTTTATTTTGTAATTTAGTGGAAACGAAGGGAATAATGAATAACGCGATACTATAATTCATTCAATTTAAACGATAGCTCATTTGGTACAATCGGATGAACGTTTGAATTCAAATAATCCATAGAAGTGGCCGTCGAAAAAAAAAAATGGCCAATCCTCTCGGTGTGCACACAATGAACACACATTACACGTCCGTTTGAACAAAGCCGCTTTTAAAAATTGGCATTCGCGCCGGACTCCGGTATATGTATAATCCTTTTGCGTTTTTGCGTTAACCAGGAAAAAAGCCGTACCAAGGCCTATGTAGGAGCGCACGAGTGGGAATTATGTCGCATGCCGGCGCGATTAGCGTAGTTACAACAAAGATTTCCATCGAATTTAACTCGAAATAAAGTCGATGAAAAGTTTCGTTTAGGCGAAAACGAAAACGGCAACGAATCCGATCGAAACTCGAAACTTTTATATGCAATGCCCAGAGATAAAGTAGGTGGCGTTGTAAACCTGGGGAGATTGTGGTAACACTGCAAAATGTGTAAGTTTAACGAAAAATCCCCAGCTTATTTTTTGTACAAAAAATTACTCGCTTTTATCTACCATAAATAATTTATGTACGTTACGTAAACAAACCCTGCACTTAGAAAGATAAATAAGTAATTACCTGCTACCTATTACGTAAAGTAATAATAACTTAGTAGCGGGATAACAAGGGGAAATGCCGTGCAATTAGCGGACGGATAAATAAACAGATAACTGGCACCTGATACCCAATTTTTGGTCGTAATACGTGTCAATCCTGGAGAGCGTATCAATCTAAATCAGCGATTACGCGCATATCAATTCCAGACCTTCATGCATTATTTCTATTTGACCGGGTGAAATTCTCGGATAACTGATACAAACATTAATAAAACAACGCCCGAAGGATAACGCGCCGGGGGTTTATCGAAAATTTAATGCTATCTGATTTATTAACAGTCGCTTAGGTAATCTTCCAAACGTCCAATTGGGAATGATGGGAATTGGAAGATATGGAATAGGACGTGGGAATGTTGTACCCTATTTGTAGTTTAAGGGTTACATTTTTTGTAATTCAATTAGTCTTATAATGTTGATAAATAGCGAGCTTAAAATTAGAATTCATATTATTTCGTGTAATTTAATTAACTAAATTTTTACATTAAAAATCTATAATTTGGGTTGTTGAATTTTATTAGTTAATTACCACACCCTGTATATAATTAATCATGCATTTATAATTATGATATAAGAAACGAAAAATAGTTAATATTTTTTATCTAGCTAGTTCCTTTGACTGTTTTTTGAATGTAATAAATTTTTCAAACAACTTGTAAAATATTAATAAATTTAATTAAAAAATATATTTTTATTTTTAATATCGTAAAAGTAATCAGTAAAGAAAAAATCAGTTCAGCGAACTTACCTCCGTGAGTATCAGAGGCTAAGCCCCCTCGGACACCGAACGACCTCAACAGGAAGCGGTGTCCGCCCCTCGCCGCGGAAAAGACGATTCGAAATCAAAATGAGAAGTAAAAAAAGAAAAGAAAAGAAATGGTTACAAAACGGGAGGGTGTCGCGGGCCTCGCTGGTCACCCAATCGCGCTGAACGGTCGATCTATCGATGCCTGTCAATTGAAAAAATCGTGTCGCACATGCACAACTGCACCAGCACCTTGACTTGTCACCGGCCTGCACCTCGCGACTCGTCGACGACGGGCTGTGCACCAGCGGGTCTGCACTCTGGTACGGCGCGTTGTGTTCGGCGACGCCCCAAGTGAACACGTAAAACAGGTACGGGGGCTGTGCAGCCTCGCTGCGCCTTCGCTCCGATCGGTCCGTCGGTCCGCAGGCGCTACATCCCCGAATCGATACCCTTCCTTGGCTTGCCTTCGCCGGGGAATACGCTATACTCTCCTCTGCCGGCTACCACTCGATGCTCGCTCCTCGCTCCGGGACCGCTCCGGTGCTCCGGTGCTCGCTGATTATACCGCCGGCGTTCCCTTATATTTTGTCGCGTCTGTCGCCACCCTCTATATACTCTTCTCTTAATGGACACGCACACACCCAACAACTTTCTTCTATTATACCTCTACTGTTTACTACGAATTTTTCAAACGAATCTATAATATTGTTTATTCATGTTGTATGGTATTTTTCGATTGGCTGTATCGCATTTGCATGGCCTGAAAGGGTTCTTAAAAGAGCGGAAACTCCATTGCTATTAGATCAGCCGGCATAAGGATGCGTCCCTTAGGATCAATTCCAACGGAATTACAATTACATAATTTAATAACACGGCCATATACCTAGGTATCGCGCGGATCTAATTTAAATAAGAAAGTACCCGACTGTTTCGAATTTGAAGAGTTTGGTATAATCCGCTCGTTTAATTAACATTTTTAATTGCCTTTATTTAATATAAAATACCCGGTATAGTTGTGTTATGAGGCAAATTTAATGAGCTATAAAAAAATCCTGCAACTTCTGCTATTCTATAGGCTATAGTGGAGTAATGACGAAAAATGAAAATAGGACGTTAAACGACGCCGCCGACGCCGACGCTCGCGGTGGAAATCTGACTGCTATTAACGGTGGAAATTGGGAGGTAACGGTACAGGAGACGATTTTAGGGAAGCAGAAGCAGGAAGAGGAAAGAAGGAAAAAGAGCTTATTCCGTTTGCAAGCAATCACAATAGAGATGAATATACTTAGATACTTTTTACCGGAATAAATATTGAGCACGCGTTTGTTGTCTTCGCTTATTGATAGATTTTTATATAAATAAAAAAAATTAATTGTTATATTGGAAAATGATTTGTGGTAAAAAAAATAAATCAACAAACGTCAATTTTGACATATGTGGCTGAATTGCCGTGTTAGATTAGTTTCTAATCTGAAACAAACTGTCAAATAAAAAAAGAAGACGATTAAAACCTTAAAAAAATAACACATGTAAACATTGAATATTGGAAACATTTTTCGTAAAATACATACAATGTTTACGACGAAAGCGTTTATTAAAAAATCAAAAATCGGCCACTTCTTGAAAGTGAGTTTAGAGTTTTATTAAATACGCAAAGTTTTATTCATTTTTTTTAACTTTTAGAATGTTAGAGAACACTATATAAGAGACGATATCTTCTGCGGAGTGCCGAGTTGCGAAACTTGCCATCCGGTCGAATCTCACTTGAGTTCGACTTATAAAAATGTTTGTTGCTTGTTCAAGTACAATCACTACCTAATTCTGGACACCAATGTGATCTTAGATCAGGTTCGTACAGTATTTGCGTTATTAAAATACATATTTATAACCGATTTCTTAGATGGACGTGTTAGACGAGCCCATTCTCGAAAACATTATCATTTTACACACTGTATTAAAAGAGGTTAAACACCGCAGTTTGCCGATTTACAAGCGCCTCCAGAGCATAATCGACAATCCCAGCAGACATTTCTACGTATTTACTAATGATCACCACAAGTGAGCTCCTATACTAATTCACTACAATCGACTTATCTAACTGGTGTTTAATTTTTAAGGGACACCTACGTAAAACAAGATGACAAGGAATTAATCAACGATTACAACGATCGGTTGATACGAAAATCGTGTTCTTGGTACATGAAACATCTTCCGGGAGAAATATTCGTTCTACTTTCAAACGACGCCAAAAACAGAGCCATAGCTTTAGCAGAAGGAATACCTACTTTAACAAGTAAATATCAACACCAGCGAGTAGTGAAATACTTAATTTCGAAACAATTTTAGTTAAAGATTACATAGAGAGCGTGAAAGATAATTCCGTTCTATTAGACAAGCTCGCCAAAAAAGATATCCACGTCGAAACTTACACGAAAGATATTTTCCCTCCGCATTTGTCGAACGTAGAGCTCCTGACGGGTGTTAAAAATGGCAAATTGCATCAAGGCACCTTTCGAGCATCGAAAGATAACTTCCTCGAAGGTTTCGTGAATGTAGACAGCCTCGAAGATCCCGTAAGTTCTACTTTCTCGCCACTTTATAAAATATTTTACAATGCTTCTTGCAGGTTTTGGTTCAAGGAAGAAGCGGGCTGAACAGGGCCGTTAACGGAGACATCGTAGTGGTGGAAATATTCGATAAGAAGGAATGGGTGTCGCCCAGCGATATTGTGCTCGAGGACGAAGGCGTAGCCGAGGAAGGCATCGATGAAATCGAACTCAAAGAAAGGGAATTGAAAAGGTCGAAGAAGATCAAAGAGGAGATAAAACCGACCGGAAAAGTGGTCGGGATAATTCGAAGAAAATGGAGGCAATACTGCGGAATATTACAAGGAGGTATGGATGGAGTTTATCAATTATTCGTGCCTTCAGATCGAAGTATACCGAAAATTCGGATCGAAACGAGACAAGCGGATTTCCTCCGAACGCAAAAACTCATCGTTACTATCGATTCCTGGCCTCGACATTCTAGGTATCCGCACGTAAGAAGCTTTGTGTATACAAGTAATGTGTATAATTAGAACAATAATTTTTCTAGGGACATTTCGTGCGTGCTTTGGGCAAAATCGGAGACCAAACCACCGAAAACGAAGTAGTACTTTTAGAACACGACGTGCCTCACAGTCAATTCTCCGAAGAAGTGCTGGCTTGCCTACCGAAACTCCCTTGGATTATCACTGAAAAGGTACAATACGAGTCGCTAATAATAAAAATCTCACACGTTTCTCTCCCAGGATGTGAAAAAACGGGTGGACATTCGCCACTTGGACATATGCTCGGTAGATCCTCCCGGTTGCACGGACATCGACGACGCTCTGCACTGTCGCCCCATCGGTAACGACGGCTTCGAAGTCGGCGTCCACATCGCGGACGTGGCTCATTTCATCCGCCCCGGCACGGCCATCGACAAGGAAGCCGCCTCGAGAGCGACCACGGTCTATTTGGTCAACAAAAGGATCGATATGGTGCCGGAGCTCCTCAGCTCGAACCTGTGTTCGCTGCGAGGCGGCGAAGAGCGATTCGCGTTCTCTTGCGTATGGGAAATGGACGCCAACGCGAACATTTTGAACACGAGATTCCACAAGAGCATTATCAAATCCAAGGCATCGTTCACCTACGAAGAGGCCCAAATGACCATCGACGATAAGAGCAAAAACGATCCGATCGCTATGTCTCTAAGAGGGCTGAACAAGTTGGCGAAGATATTGAAGAAACGACGTTTAGAAAACGGGTAAATATTACATTTTAATCGCAAAACGATCGGTTAATTCATTTAGAAATGTTCAGCGCGTTAGTGCTCGCCTCTCCCGAAGTTAAAATCCACATGGATTCCGAAACTATGGAGCCTCTAGACGTCGAAGTGAAGAAACTCTTCGAAACCAATTCGATGGTCGAGGAATTTATGTTGCTGGCTAATATAAGTGTGGCTGAAAAAATACTGGACGAGTTTCCCGAATGCGCGATGCTCAGGAGACATCCCACGCCTCCGAGTACGAATTTCGATCCGTTAATCAAAGCAGGGAGGCACTTGGTGAGTTATCGGTTTGGTGGTGGTTTCGCGAATGATTTTTGTGTTTAAAGGGCTTGGATATAAACGTGGAATGCGGTAAAAACTTGGCGCAATCCTTGGACGAGGCTACGAAGCCCGAAAATCCCTATTTAAACACCATGTTGAGGATTCTAGCGACGCGCTGTATGTTACAAGCGGTTTATTTCGCCAGCGGTACGTTGCAAAAGGAGGAATATTACCATTACGGTCTCGCGGTGCCGCTTTACACGCATTTCACCTCGCCCATTAGAAGATACGCAGACATTATCGTACATAGGTGAGTTTCGCCTAATTTCTTTAATTGTATCATAAAAATAAACGGTAAATGATGTAAAAAATCGCGACGTTCACCGGCTCGATGGCTTCGCGTAACATCATCAACGGAACATCCAAAAAGTTGAAAAATAAATTGATGAAAAATCTGAATATTTTGATTTCTTTATCTTTCATATTTGACAATACAATCGAAGTGATCAAGTTAGTAAATATTACTTATTGTTTAGGCTATTGGCTGTAACGTGTGGAGCAGATTCGACTTATCCTGATCTATTAGATAAACAGAAATCGACGGAACTATGCCAGAATTTGAATTACAGAAATCGAATGGCTCAATACGCTGGTAGAGCATCAGTTGCATTCAATACTCACGTAAGATAATACTTAATATAATAATACTATACTCTTACTGTTATTGTTATGTTTGCAGCTATTTTTCAAAGGGAAACTGCAAGACGAGGAGGGTTACGTGCTTCATATTAGAAAAAACGCTCTGCAAATTCTCATTCCAAAATACGGTTTAGAATGTACGCTATATTTAGCCAAGAAAGGGGAGAGTTCGAATATATTCGAATACAACGAAGAGGTAAAATGCATTCGAATATTCAAGTAGCTCTCGTAAACACTTCGATTCGTTTTAGGAACAAAGTCAAAAGGCCGGAAATATAACCTTACACGCCTTTGATCCGGTGAAAGTGCGACTAAGTTTGGATTCCAACAATATTCAACACGAGAAATTCGTCCTGCAATTGGTTTCTCCCTATATCGAAGGATTCAGCGTTCAACCTCTCGGCGAATCCATGGAAGTGGATCCGGATAAACCCGCTTCGGAGAAGAAAAGAAAATCCAAAAGCGAGTCGCACGTAAAAAACAAAAAGAAAAACTAGTTATATAAGTTTATTACAAAAATAAATTTCATAATTCATGTTTGATTACTGATCGTCCAAATCCGCAGGTAAACAACACACCTCCGTGCCAGGCGAGGCCTTTAACGTGACCTTTGTGCTTTCCGTTCTTATAAACTACGTTAAAATTATCTTCTTCCGAGTTGATGACTAAAATTTCTCTGGTATCGCCGCACACGGCGAAATTTTTAGCGTCTTTGAATGATATTTTGTTCACGGGAGCCGAGAAACAGTAGAATATGGATACGAATTCCTTGGGTTCGCGTCTGTCTAGCAAGTAAATGTCTCCGGCTTGGGTGCCTGCTATGATGTAATTGTCATCGTATTGGTTCCAAGCTACACTGGTTATCGAGGAGAATTCGTTGGCGTAGAGAACTAAAAATTATAAGAAGTAGTTAATAGATAATTAGTAGATTTAAAATGATTGCAATACCTGAAGCTACTGAAGGATTTCTCCTGTCCCATATACAAGCTAATCTATCATTACCACCTGAAGTGAATAAATTCGTATCGCTTCGTAGAGTATCGACAGATGTTACAGTATCCAAATGGTAACTTCTGAAAATTGGGGCAATTAATCATCAATTTCTAATAATAAAATATTTCTTACTCGTATTTTTCTAAAGGTTTCCCATCGGCCGAATTACAATCCCAAATTGATACTGTCCTATCAGCAGCTGTCAAAACTCTAGGAGAATTATCCCACACGCTTAACTCAGACACTATATTTGATAATCTAAAGTAATTAATTGTTCTTAACGAAGTATCTACTTCGATCGAAACAATATTTAAATGGCCTGTATCATCAGCTAAAGCCACCTAAAATTGTTTACAATTACTGTATATAACTTAATTAGATATTAAAAGTTAATATTACTGTATTTTCGTTAACAAACTTCCCATCGGAATTCGTGGAATATACATAATATCCAGCGTAATTGAAATTTTCCAATAATTGCTTGGAATTCTCGAAATACAGAAGGCTTCCTTCCCAAAAGGTCTCGTCGACTCCTGATCCTCCAAGAATGCAATTTCCTATAATATAAAATCAATAAATTTCAAATTGATCAACGTATGATTTTTTTACTTACCTCGTTTATTAAAATCGATAAAAAATAAGTTATCATAAATTACGGGTGTTTGAGAAAAGGTACAATGAGATTCCATGGGCGCATTTGGAGGAAAAACCGCTTTGAGCTTGTTACTATTTTCTGTTTCTGCCATAATTTCGGTACAAATTACAAAATTATAAACAAAATTCCCTTTTTTTCAATTTTAGGTTAATTTTTCAGGACGTAAAGTTGGTCTAACATTAATTGTTATTCAGTAACAACTTGGTTGATTCGACAAGTGACACTTCTTCTTTTATTAGAACTAGCTCGGAATTGCGTATCCGAACAAACAATTTTAATTTAACCTCACTTCTCGACGCACACTGAGTTGAATTCGATGACAGATGACTTAGAATCGATGCATAAAATCGAAACGTTAGTTAGTTGACGGGTTTTATTGCGCAATATTTATTAAAATAATTGTATAATTTTAGTGGTATACTTTCCATAAATAAAAAGCAAATAATATGCAGTAGTCTGCAATTTCATTACGAATTATAGAACCAAAATAAATACTCGCTGAATCGATGCTGGCAAGTATCGAGAGGCTTTTACAATCGAATGATTTGATTATTAGTAATAGTAATTCGCAGCACCCATCACCCATCAAACATACGAAACGAAAAGAAAGAAAAATTTCTACCAAAGCAAAGCAAAGCAAAGGAACTCCTTACATTCTTTTAATGCAGAGGTTGTCAAAAGCGAGTAAGTAATTTGCGAAAAAATTAGACTTAACAGTGAAATAGCACCTTTATTCGATCGGTATTTTAATATATTTCGATAAAGCCACCATTTGCTTTTATAATTTGTGTGAAAAAGTGCATGTAATTATTAATTATTGGAATACGTGACACCAACCCCACTTCATCCTTAATTCACTTCATTTTTCCTACACCAAACTGGCCAAGAACGTGTTTCGCCAATAATTTTTATCTCGTTAAACCGACTGGGTACTTATCAGAAACCACTTTCTGCGTAATTATATTAAATTCGTTTGTTTGGCAAAATTCTCAAGTTTCTCCTCTCCGTTTTATTTATCTGCGAGTAATTAACGCCCCTCGTTTCTCCTGTTAAATCGGTAAATATTTATTTTTATTATCGCACTTCTAATTAATTTGTTATTTTAAAAACAATGCTAAAAAGTGGCCTTGCACGAACATGAAGTGTTTACAATGTTTATTTAACGTTTGAAAACGTGAAATTTACTTAATTATTAAACGTTCATAATTTATTTGCACATGCAGAACTTGTAATTAGCACAAATTGGTTTTGTAAAACTGCTCGAAATTAATAAGAGTAAGTGGAACAATTAATTATTTATTTCAGAAAATATGGTTAAGTCGTTCCTCTTCGCAGCCTGATGTAGATAGATAGAATGGCAGAATGCATTAATAGGTCAGCAGAACTTCCTAAACAAGACTGTACAAGCCCCAGCCCGACAGAAACCGTCTGTTTGGAGTCCCTATGCGCTGAAAATATCCCCGGTTCGTATAACGTTTTATACACAATCTTATCATTTCCTTGATAAGTCCTTATAATCTGACGAAAATTTATTTATGTATTGAATAATTGATGATGAAACACCCGATTTAATTGGAACGACGTAAAAATTGCAATGGATCATTTCTGCGTAGGTACATCTCAGAGTAACATCGAACAGTCGCTGATATCTCACGGCGACTTCTACAATATCGAGGAGGTCGAGAAATTAGAGAAGAGCAACTTTTTAAACGAGTTAGGTCTCATCCAAGAAGATGAAAACGACGATGTAGAAGAGATCGACGATGAAGACGATGAGAATAGAGACGAAAGCTGGGAAGACTGTTTAGATCAAGAATTCCTCGATGATGTGAGTCGATGCGTTTGTTGTGTTTCGATACGGGGTAATCGAGTTTAATTTCCAGCCCGATGATTTAAGTAGCTGTGAAGAGGTGATTAACTATAGTGCCAGTCAATCGAATACTCCTAAAAGTTCGCATTTGAAGAGAAGTCATTCTGGTTCAAGTGAAAGAACTTTGGTAAGTTGATCGAAACAATTATATTTCCCTGATGAATCCAATTTTATTATGATGACTACATTATATTGAGTTAGTAATAGTAAAACTACTGTTGACTAACATATGATCCAACTAATCTTCTCTCTGATTATTATTCCTTTTGTAACCGTCACAACAAATTAATTATCCCGCTAATCAACAATTAATCGATCATTTTTCCGCAGCGTAAGCGTAAGTTGGACGTCAATAATGCGCTGCCATGTAAAAAGATCCAATCAGATTCGCCAACGATGTTCGGTAATGGCTCTTCTTTTCTCTCGACGACTGGTTCCTCTGCTTCTCAATCGCCCTCGAATTGCTCGGTCACGCCTTCGGGGGCCCGATCGCGCGCCATCATACCCACCAAGGACAATCCGCCGCCGGATTTGTCCAATTGGCTGTTGCAATTCCTGGCCTGGTCCAACGCCGAACGGATCATGGCCATCAACGAACTGATCGATCGATGCGAACCCACCCAAGTCAGGCACATGATGCAAGTAAGTATGAGTTCCCAGTTAAAATTCATTGGTATCTTTTAATGCAAAGCGTGGTCATTACCCTGTATAAGAAATAGTAGATAAAATTCATAAATAAACTGGCTTTTGGTTGATTAAAATAAATAGAAACACCAGTTTTTGTAACATTTTCCGATAGAAATTCGAAGGGAATTAAAAGTTTTATTACTGTAAAATCAGTATAAGAGTGTACTGATTTATTTACTTCTCAAACACACTCATATTTTCTTTAAATTAATAAAGAATTCTATTGTAACAGAATGAAATACAGACATCATTTTAAAATTCCAGTAATTTGTATCCATCGTTTTCTATTTAACTCGTTAATAATCGATTTTTTTTGTAGGTTATCGAGCCGCAATTCCAGCGCGATTTCATATCGCTGTTGCCGAAAGAGCTGGCACTGAACGTGCTGTCCTTCCTCGAACCGAAGGACCTCCTGAGGGCCGCGCAGACCTGTCGAAGTTGGCGCGTCCTGGCCGAGGACAATCTGCTGTGGAAGGAGAAGTGCAAGCAGGCCGGCATCGAGGAGGTGCCGAAGAAGAGGATCGCTTCGAGGACACACACCACCCACATGTCCCCTTGGAAAGTGAGTGAAAAGACGAGTAATTGTTTCGATAACGTGTCGTTAATTTGCGGTTGAATTTCAGGCCGCTTTCATGCGCCAGCACACCATCGAAATGAACTGGAGATTGAAGCCCATCAGACCGCCGAAGGTGCTGAAGGGGCACGACGAGCACGTGATAACTTGCCTTCAATTTTGCGGCAACAGGATAGTCAGCGGTTCGGACGATAATACATTGAAGGTTTGGTCGGCGACCACGGGAAAGGTGGGCGATTTGCGATGTTCGAATTACAATCGGTGTTAATTCGGTGCGCTTTTTTTTTAGTGTTTGAGAACTCTCATCGGACATACCGGCGGCGTTTGGTCGTCTCAAATGTCGGGAAGCACCATCATCAGCGGCAGCACGGACAGGACGCTGAAAGTCTGGGATGCCGATACCGGCGTTTGCATACACACTTTGTACGGGCACACTTCTACCGTGAGGTGTATGCATCTGCATGGCAAAAAGTAAGTACGTAAAATGAGTAATTTGCGAGTATAATTTATGGTTATTTTCGTAGGGTTGTTAGCGGTTCGAGGGACGCTACGTTGAGAGTATGGGACATCGAAACTGGCGAGTTTCTGCACGTGCTCGTCGGCCACATGGCCGCTGTGCGTTGCGTACAATACGACGGTAGGCTCGTGGTGTCGGGAGCCTACGATTTTATGGTTAAAGTTTGGAATCCGGACACCGAAGAGTGCCTGCATACGTTGCAAGGACATACCAATAGAGTTTACTCGCTACAGGTTAGATATATTAAAAAGTTTATGCGAGTTATTTAGCGCGTTTACCGATGATTACTTAGTAAAAGGTTTGAACGTTCGTCGAGTTTCTTCGCAAGGCGAATTGTAATCGAACGTTATTTTTGTAGAGTTTGTGAAATAACGTTTGTAATACGTTCGCCGGTGAGGTTGAATTCCGAATGTTGTGATAACGAACGCGAAATGAGGATTGATGTTGCTACGGAAAATGAATCGAACCGGCGTCGCTCGTTTTTTAATCGTCGATAATTTTTGTAGTTCGACGGCGTGCACGTCGTGAGCGGCTCCTTGGACACGAGCATTAGAGTGTGGGAGGTGGAGACCGGCGCCTGCAAGCACACGCTGATGGGCCATCAATCGTTGACGTCGGGCATGGAACTGCGAAACAACATATTGGTATCCGGCAACGCCGATTCCACCGTCAAAGTTTGGGACATCGTGACCGGACAATGTCTACAAACTCTATCGGGTAAGGTCTCTCCTCACACGGAGAAACTGAAAAGAAACTTTAGTTAACGGGAAATTGGGAAACTGTTGCTTAATTGCTATATGAAATGGAGCAAAAGGAGTTATTTCTAACTAAGTTTCCTTTTTTTGTCATCCTATAGGACTCACTAACAGCATAAACAGCAACTTCAGTTGCTCAAATCGCCCAGTTTCCTGACAACCAAAGTTTCCTCTTAGTTTCTCAAGAAATGATTCCGTTTTCGCAGGCGCTTACAAGCACCAATCGGCCGTGACCTGCCTCCAGTTCAACACGCGCTTTGTGATAACCTCGTCCGACGACGGCACCGTGAAGTTGTGGGACGTGCGCACCGGCGAGTTCATCCGCAATCTGGTATCGTTGGAGAGCGGCGGCGCCGGCGGCGTCGTGTGGCGCATCCGGGCGAGCGATACGAAGCTGGTGTGCGCCGTCGGCAGCCGGAACGGCACCGAGGAGACGAAGCTCCTGGTGCTCGATTTCGACGTCGACGCGACGAACGGCGGCGGCGGCGGCGGCGGCGCCGCGATCGCCTCTAGGTAATCTTTAAGGACTAAAAAAATTCGTTGTGCATGTGCGAGTGAGCGTGTTTTATTTTGGGTTCGTTTTATCGTCGGGTTGAAAGGGGGGAAATTGGCGCGCGTAAAGTTGGTTTTTAATCGTATTCTATTGTTCGAACTACTTGATACGTTTGAAGCGTAAAGGACGTTCGCGCTCGCTAGGTAATGACGTTACGAGCCAACATGTTGCCGGGTTGAAATGAAAATCTTGATGTGACAGATATATTTAATTTAAAGATTATGTTTACTTTCATTTGTTAGAAATTAAAAAGAAGAAATGCTAATGCATGCAGCCTAATGGCTGCAATCCGATTGACAGGAGAAGTGTTTATTTGCAACGCTTAACAACCCTATAAAACAGATATACATTTAAAAAAATATTCGTAAGTTTAACATATCCTATAAATTTCAATGTGCTGAACTATCGAAAATATTGATCGGGAATTAACCGGGAAAAAAAGGCCTACATCGTCCCGTTCCCTCCCAAAATAGGTCGAAAAACACCGAAAATCGCGGGAGAAACTGTCGATAAATGTACATAAACCGCACGAAAAAGTATTTAGAACGAACGAAAAACACAAAACCTACTCGTAAACTTGAAAAAATACAGGAATATCGCGCAAAAACAACAAATTGTAGTCATAACCTGTCAAAGTGTCAACTACAAAGCGCCGCTAAATATTGCGAATGTTGAGACTAATGCATGACAACATAGCTTTCGACTTTCAACCACGCGTCGTTAAATTCCCCTTGTCAAATGGGAGAATTAACATTGACACTAGGGAAATGTTGAACTGCGTGGAAATTAATGACGTTGTCTAAAAATGTCGTCATTGCCTAGCGAGCGCGAATGTCCTTTATAAAAATTGTAACTGGCTTAAGGTTTCAACTTTACCGCGACGATTTTGTAATTATGGGTAACAAACACTGTACGACTTAAGTTATTTTTTTGCAATCATAATGTGCCGTGACCTAGGTCTATAAGCTATTTATAAAGTCTGAATAATTTTAATGCCGTAATTGCAAGTCGTTTGGCGTTTTATTGTCGATCTCAAATAATATTTTTTCTAATTCGACCGGTTTTGAAATTGTCTGAACTGATGAAATAATACTCACGATGTTTGCGTTTGTTCGGAAGTGGGATCGAATAAAATTTCACCGATTTAATTTGAGTATTAGAAGCGGGTGATTTTTTTTTTGGATAATTATCGAGTGTTTTTGTTTTGCCGATAACGGAGAAAAATCTTATTTGATATCTTTACGATTGGGAATTTTTATTAACTCGATGACAAACACCTGCTAGAAAATAAGAATCCGTTGAAAGAACTAAATCTGGTGCTTTTTTTTCTTTGATTATATTATTTTTTTATTCGATAAGTATAAAATCATTTTGGTAATAATCATAATTCGTTTGGTTGAATTTCTAGTTGTCAAAAATGTTAATTTTTACATTCTTATTCAAATATTAATTTGTTATTTTAGCAAGACTTAAACTAGATTTTAAAAACCAAACAACTACGCTGTAAGAATGAAAGTACATAATGATTTTTTTAGTAAATTATCAAGTTTAAATGCATAAATAATACATTTTAGGCAACCCAGATTTGTGATGAAATTTCTTTGTTGGAATGTTTGCGCTGAAATTTTTCAATTATCTGGTTTGGATTTTAAAATTTCATTTAAGTTTTATTGAGGAGATCGAATGGGTTTGACAACGAGCCGGATTCTATCGAATTCTCTATAAAATAGAATGTAATAATTAGGTGAATCTCTGTTCCTAAAAATATTTAATTACAAATAATATGCACCAGAGAGACTGATATAGTATGTTTAAGTTTTAACAACGTCTTAGGATGGGAATTTACCACGTATTTTCTTCATTTATCTTCGATATTTACTGATACTTAGGGAGAATGAATTTTGCAGGTTTTTTGGTACCTATCTTGTATTGAGAGCTTAATTCTACGAAATTCAATTAACATTTTTATCTTGGAGCCAAACAAAATTATAATATAGGTGCCAATGAATGTTGCTACTACATATTTTACTTTCATTTAGATTTATAGTAACAAGATTGTGGTTCATGCTCAATATTCTCGTCATAGCTCAAACTTGATTGTACATAAATTGTTAATACAATGACTCGTCATCACATCACATTCATCTGATAATGTTCATTTTATTAATAAATTTCTGCGTAATCTACATACTCGAATGATGTAGCGTGTCTCGTTGCGTTTAATGAATTATTTGTTTGAAATAAGCAGTTTATTTTGATTTTTCACCAGTTGATGCATCGAGACATCCTATGCCAATATTTTAACAATAAAAAAATATTGAAAAACATCAGTGATCATCTGTACAATTTGAAGATATAAATTTAACATTTTATAGGTAGCCATATTTTTAATAATTAGTGTTTAATTGGAATTATTAGACAGGTTTGTTAATTTTCAGCGTTTGTACTATTAGTGTGGTTGAAACTTATGAAATCTTGCTTTATCGAGCCCGTACTATGAAACACCTAAATCGTATTAAACCTCTTGAGGTATCAAATATTTTAATTTTTTATTAACCATCAATAATATTGTTTCGTTTTATAAAGATGTCTTGTTGGAATTTAGTTTATAGTTTAATTGAAACTGTCTAGTTGTTAGTGCTTCTAATAGTTTCACTGCCACATTTCTTGGGGCCTTATTTTATTTACTATTAAATATTGCTGATTTAAGACTTCACCTAATAGTACAATTACGTTGATTAATTTTTCTTTTTCGTACATGAAATTTGTAATTTTCTCATCTTAAAAAAATTGTTTAAATAAATAATAATTTACTGTTTTTTAATATTTTGATCATATTTTATAATTTCGAAAGTCTGGTGTTGTTAATGTTATGTCAAAAATAAAATCCGTATTTGTTGTATTTAATTTATTAAAATATTAAAGAATTCATCGAAATTTTAATTCCCCCAACTTTATTAATTAATTGCATTATCTATCTACATTATTGTAATGTTGAAGTCACTATCATCTACAAATATTTGGATTAGTAAGTTTATTTGAAGAGAGCCTATTTGCTTTGTTGTTAAAAAATTCAAATATTTTTATATAAGCGCCATTAGCGCTACCTCTATCTGGGTTTTTATTCAGTCAATATTTCTTTTAACCGAAACTAAGTTATTGAAATCTTACCTAAGGCTATCAAAAAAATTAAAAGATTTGTCTAATTTTATTACTGTCTATATTACAACTTATCTAATAATATTTTAAAATAACTGATAAATGTTTTAAAATAAAAAAGAAGAAGAAAATGACAGTTGGCTAACAGACTCCTACAGAACAAGTCCATCAACGACATAGATGTAGAAAATAATAAATACACAACCTAAATAGAATATTTTTTAAAGTTTTATTATTACTTATAACTTATAAATTATCCAATTAATACTTTATTGGTGGTAAGATTTGCATTATTTCCATTTTTAATATCGTAATGGTGTTTTCTTTGTAGGTTGAAATTCGGTTGCAAAATAAAGCCTTGGTGAAACTAGTAAAAACCATCCAAACATATTTAATTCATCCGTGTGAAATAACCGAGAAAGCGAGAAGATGCCGCGCTTTTTGAAAAATCAACGATAAACAAGCTTAATTTCCATTGTAAAGCAGTAACACAATTCAGGGAACATGGAAACTAATCACAACACAATGCTGAGTTCGGATCTTTGTTTTTTGATACAAAGATTTTTATCGTCTAGCGTACTTAAGAAAACCCTACAAGTGTTCAATGAAGAACTCGAAGAACACAAACTGCTACCAACTCGTACCGATTGGGAAGGTGAACAACACGATCGAACAGTCGAGGACATGATCAGGCAGTTTTCGAACATCAGACCCGATTACCTTCTACAACTCTGCAATCAAGCCGTGAATTCTAAAGACAGGGACGCCCTATCGGATAGGACTAAATCGTTTTTGAGTTTTAGACCAAATGCATTCCAACGTGATAATATATTAACCAATTTTAGACAGTTATACAATTATGTTATACGAATGCACGGAGCTCCTGTACAAATTACGAACAACACTTTTAACATAGCCAATTCGTTGAGAGGCAGAGAAATATCAGGACCTTTAAGCAGGCACAGAATAACTACGCCGAAATTGTTCAATTCCATGCAGAAACAACGAAGTACAGTCGGACATTTATCATCAGTTTTCTGCATACTTTTCGATCATTCCGGTAAATACATCATTACCGGAGCAGACGATTTGTTGGTGAAGCTCTGGTCAGCGTACACCGGTCGATTAATATCGGTATTCCGAGGAGCTTCCTCGGAAATAACCGACATCGCAATCAACTCGGAAAACACCCTCCTAGCAGCGGGCTCTATCGATCGAATACTAAGAGTATGGAATTTACAAAACGGTGCACCTATAGCAGTCCTCACAGGACACACCGGAATGATAACATCCGTGAACTTCTGTCCAACGCAGTGCTTAGATCTTCGATATCTAATAAGCACCGGAACCGACGGCAGCATAGCGTTCTGGCCTTACTCTCAAGATTGCTCAGTCGGCGTGGAGTTCCGTAGCAACCCAGTTATGTACCAAGAGAAGCTGAGGCCGGGACAGGCTCAAATGATCTGTTCGTCTTTCAGTCCTGGCGGAACGTTTCTAGCAACCGGCTCGGCCGATCATCACGTCAGAGTCTACTACATGAAGGGAGACGAAGGGCCGCACAGGATACTGGAAATGGAAGCTCACAGCGATAGAGTGGATTCCATACAATGGGCCCATTCCGGCCTGAGGTTTCTCTCGGGCAGCAAAGACGGCATGGCGATTATATGGTGGTTCGAAAGGCAGCAGTGGAAGAGCATCCACTTAGACATGGCCTCGAAGCTATCCGATGCCCATAAAACGCTCGAGAACGATTCGAAGAAATTGAAAGTGACCATGGTGTGTTGGGACTTATCGGATTATTGGGTCATAACGGCCGTCAGCGATAACACGCTCAAAGTCTGGACGTCTTCTAACGGTCAATTAATCAAAATTCTAACGGGTCACACCGATGAAATTTACGTTTTAGAAGCGCATCCCCGTTACGATAACGTCATACTGTCGGCCGGCCACGACGGGCAATTGTTCATTTGGGACATAATGAAGGGCGAGATCGTTTTCAAGTTTCTGAACAACATCGAAGGCCAAGGATTCGCGGCGATATACGATGTTAAATGGAACCCCGACGGTACCGTGATCGCCGGCTCGGATTCGCAGGGTCACATTCTCATATTCGGCTTCGGCGAGGGAAGCCCTTTCTTCAAACAGCTGCCGCAAGAGCTGTTTTTCCACACCGATTATCGGCCGTTAGTGAGAGACACTAATCATTACGTGTTGGACGAACAAACGCAAATTCCGCCACACCTAATGCCGCCGCCGTTCCTCGTCGACATCGACGGGAATCCGTACCCTCCGATGCTGCAAAGATTAGTGCCCGGCAGGGAGTTTTGTAACGTCGAACAGCTGATACCGAACATCATCATCGGAAACGAGGGTACCCAAGAGGTGATTCAAGATCTTCCCCAAAATCACATAGCTTCTCTGGAGCGCAACGACCAAGAGGAGGGAAGTTCGTTTAGACCCGGAAGAAGATCGTCCGTCAGAGATCACGAAAGAATCAGACAAAGTACGGGAAACTGGCAGAGCGATCCTTCGTTCGAATGGCAAAAGAACATCTTGGTTCAACCGTTGAGCAAGGCCGTCCTGGAGCGAGCCAAGGAAGTAAGAGAAAGCCTAAAAGACGCCGAAATGGAGGAGTACCAGAAGCAATTAAGGCAACGACCTCACATGATCAGCATCAACACCTCGAACAACATCAAGAAGAAGGAAGAAAAGGAGAAAAAGAAACGGAAAAACAACAAGTACGCCACGCGATCGGCGGTGACTTACGAATACAAAGAAGACGATCACGACATGTCTCCGATATACGAATCCGATTCCTATTCTTCCGATTGGGTGGCCGAAGAACAGGAACGCTTCGAACGACCCGTAAGATCCAGCAGGCGACAGGCTGCAGGAACGTCCAGGAGAAAAGTATCCGACAACGAAGACGAGGACGTCGATGTCGAGTTAGAAGACGACGACGAAGAAGACTACGATTTCGACGAGTCCATGCCGAGCTCCAGCAAATCCAAAGAGAAAGACGACAAGAAGCGAAACAAGCCCAACTCGTCGGATAAGAATTCGAGGATCAGATCCAGCAGGAGATCGAAACAAGTCGCTCGGAAGCGCAACAACAAGATCAAGGTCACGTCGAGCAACAGCAGCAGCGATTCTTCGTCGGATAACGATCATCGCTATCACAACGGCAATAATCTGTCGGATATAATCGGCCCGTCGACCAGCGGTATGCAGAAATCCTCGAAATTAACCAAAATCGAGCAGTACAGGCTGAGCGAATGGTTGTCGGAGACGAAACCGAGAAAATCGCCGTACTATCCACAACTCGGCGACGAAATCGTCTATTTCCTGCAAGGCCACCAGCTGTACTTGGACGCCGTCGAAACGAAAAACGTCTACGAGATCAACGCGAAGGAGCTGCCCTGGAAGAAGCTCAACATCCAGCCGCACGAGTTCTGCAAAGTCATCGGCATCCAATACGAGATCAAACCGCCGAGATTGTGCTGCCTGAAATTGGCCGTCGTCGACGAGGAGGGCCACCTGACCGGCCGCAGTTTCTCCGTCAAATACCACGACATGCCCGACGTGCTCGATTTCATCGTTCTGAAGCAGATCTACGACGTGGCGTTGTCGAGGAGCTGGACGAACGGCAGCAAGTTCCGTTGCATGATAGACGAGGGCTGGTGGATCGGCGAGATCATCAACAAATCCCCGGCCAGCGAGACCTTTCCCGATTCCACGTTCCTCTGCTATCAGATCCGGTGGAACAACGGCGAGGAGGAGCGGATGAGCCCGTGGGACATGGAGCCGATCGACGACGATCGGATACCGGAGGACGAGAGCGAATCGATTCCGGTGCTCGAAGAGGAATTGTCGTCGATATTGTACAAAACGTCGGAGTGCGACTGGCCCTATCGCGATCTGACCGCCATTACGAAAAACATCGTGAACGGACTCACCAAAGTAATGGAATTGGCTATAGCCGAACCATTTCTGGTGCCCGTCGACATAAACGCGTATCCGTTGTACGCCATGATAATCGAATATCCGATCGATTTGTCGACGATTAAATCTCGTTTCGAGAACCGGTTTTACAGGCGACTCATCGCCGCCCAATTCGACATCAGATACTTGGCGACCAACGCCGAGAAATTCAACGAGAAACGCAGCAACATCGTGAAACACGCCAAAATACTCACCGAGCTCTGCTTGCGCATCGTCGGCGATTGCTCGAGCTGCGTCGACGTTCCCAGCTTGTACCACCGGCTGGTGAGCAACTACGACTCCGATCGCGGGGCGAGCGACGGAGCCGACGAACGCGTCGCCTCCACCAGCAAAAACCTGCGAAACGCCGCCAAGAAACCCGCCGGCGATCCGGACAAATGGAAGAAACACGCCGTCGATCTTCTGAATTTGATATGCGCCAACGAGGACTCGGCGCCGTTCAGGAAACCCGTCGACATAACATCCTATCCGGACTACTACCAAATCGTCAAGAACCCCATGGACTTGGGCACGGTGCAGGAGCGCCTCCAGCAAAACGCCTACGACGGCCCGCTGGAATTCTCCGCCGACATGAAGCTGATATTCTCCAATTCGAGACTGTACACGCCGAACAAAAAATCCCGAATCTACGACATGACCAGTCACCTGTCCAAGATCTTCGAGGAGTCGTTCAAGAAGATCCTCTCCAATTGGAAAACCGAGACGAAGCGTAGGCGAAGGAGGCGTTCGGTGACCAACAGCGAGTCCGACGCCTCCACCACGTCCTCTTACTCCTCGGATTCGGCCACCGACGTGCAGGAGGAGCTGAAGGCGCACGACGAGGAGGAGGACGACGACGAGGAGGAGGAGGAGGACAGCAATTTCGAGTGCGAAACGAAGTCCGAGCCGGAATCGGATAGCCAGAGCGAGGGCGCGCGGACGAAGAGGAGCCGCAAGAGGGCGCGGAAAATCGACAAGGAATCCGAGGAGGAGTACACGGCGAAGCTCACCGATCAATCCGAGGAGGAGTGCACCAGCAGCGAGGAGGACTTCGACGCGAAGAAGAAGAACAACCTGAGGAAGAGGCCGGCGCGGAGGAAAGGGTTCTACGATAGCGACAGCGAGGAGAGCAGCGATTCGTCGTCGGCGAGGGAGTTCAAGCGGATCAAGCGGATCAGGCATACATCCGATAGTGATAATAGCAATCAATCGTATCAGACTGACGGTAGTGATCGTAGGAAAGAGGGGAAATTCGTGTCGCAGGTGAGCAGCAGGGGCAGGGTGAGGAAGCTCACCGAACGGGCGAAGGCGTTATTTAAGAAAAAGTAAATTTACGATTTAATATTTTTTTACGTCGACTGTGGTTCGATGGCGCAACCGGAGATGTTCTTGGGAATGTTATCTAAACGTGAGCCCATTATTTCGTGAGTTATTCTCTAAAATGTTACAGTTGTATTTTTTTTAGTTGTAGGATTTTAGGAAATTTTATGTAATACTTAATGTTTAAAATTGTTTTGGTGATTTGATGGTGACAAATTGATCAAACATTTATTTGGTGATTTTTTTATAGCTTGTATTAATTAATTTTAGCAAAATAACTATTGGATATCATTCAGCTCACGATTCGTTTGTGATAAAATTACTTAATCGTCGATTATTCACAAGAAAAAAAATAAAAATACCTAATGAATATCGACATTCCCCACTGCCATTCAAATTTATGGCTGCGCCATTATTCAAATATAATTAAGAAATAAGTCTCTACATCAAGTTTGTATAAAAGAGATATAGTATTTTTAAGATCGCCGTTTTGTAGAGATCTGTTGAAATATTGTAATTGATCATTTTCTTTTTACGCATTGTATTTAATTTCATTTGTAAAAACGTTAATGTGTTTCTTTGTTATTTCAAATAAATGAAGAATCATTTGAAGCAATGTTTATTTTACCGCCCTCGAGAATTTGGTATTTTTTATTGGCAAACAATTTCGAAAATTTTTGAAATCAGTTTTTATCAACCAAATAGGAAAGGATAATGTTTGTCTCTCTAATCTAATCTATTATATCATGTAAATCTAAATCAATATCATACAAAGCATAGTCTTTATTAAATATATTTTCATTGCAGTTATAAAATATAACATAAAATTATTTACAACAATTATTAAACAATATTCGTATATAAGATGTACAAATATGGCAGTATGTGGCCTTACAAAATAATATCGAGATCAATAATAGACCCCAAATTAACATATAAATTAATACATTACAAGTGAGAATCGAATAAAGTTCTATGAAATTTTAAGTTATTCACAAAAAAAATATTTAAAGCCTTTATAATTAACTAACATAAAAATCAGTATTGCAAAATTTAATTTACATATCACAATATACATTTCATACAATATTTGTACAGTCTAACTCTAACAAAACATTTCGAACAGTTTTATCACTGTTTTACTCTTAAAAAAATTTCATATCAAGATGAACATTTATAGGCATATCCAAAAAAATTTATCTATTTTCTAATATAAAATTTTCCAAGAAGTAGGTACAATTACAATGCGTAAAAAATCGAAATATCATAAATTTATAATTTATTATAATATGAGCTAGATGACGTGACGTACTAACCGGTGCTTCTATTCCTAAACTCGCGAAACTCCCGTTCTACGAGTACGATATCTGAAAAACTACTGAATCATTTGCAAAAACCTATTTTCCTCCAACAAAGAACTCAGCGACGAAGTCATATCGTTAACAACCATATTCGAACTGGGCTTGTCCCCGACGTTGTTCAAGGGATGCGTGGTGCTGCTCACCGTATCCGAATTGTTCACCCACGACTGGCAATTCTGCACGTACTCCAACGTCCTCTGGTAGGTGTCCTGCCGCATGCCGAGCATCGTCGTGCCGTTGTTGCCGGCCACGCCCGGCGACATTTGCGACTGGCTCACGTCGTTGCATTGGATCTCGTTGGTTTGATTGCAACAGTGATTGTAGCCCGGCTTCTTGCAGTTCGCGCAACCGTGACACTGGCTCGCGTAAGCCGCGTTCGGGTAACAGTTCGGGGCGTAATGCGAACAGGGCCGGGACATCTGAGCCGGTTGCGGCTGGCTCATGATCTCCGACGGAGCCGGTGTGGCCATGGCGGGCGACGGCAGCGGCTGCTCCGGCATGTTCTGCACGCAATTGTAACCGTTCTGGTAGTTGTTGCAGCCGTAGTGGTTCTGGTTGTAGTGATTGTTGCAGTAGTGGTTCGAGTTGTTGTAGTTGTTCATCTGTCTGCAGGCGTGATTGTCCTGGCAACCGCAACCGTCCCAATGCTGGACGTTATTCCCGTAGCAGTTCATCGGTCTGTTGAAGCAATTCACGTTCATCATCTGCGATTGGCAGCGCGCCGGCATTTGGTTCACGTTCTGCTGCTGCTGCTGCTGCTGCTGCTGCATCATGTTGTAGTTCGGCTGGTAGTTGGGCTGGTTCATCATTTGCGGCTGCATCATCTGGTTGAGGTTGTGCGCCGACGCCGGCGCGACGATCTTCATGGCGTTCGCCGCCGGCGACGGCATCATTTGCGTCAAATTCGCCGCCGGCGACGGCATCATCTGGTTCCGGTTCGAAGCCGGCGACGGTATCATCTGGTTCAAATTCGACGGCGGCGAGTGCATCATCTGGTTCAAATTCGACGACGGCGAGTGCATCATCTGGTTCAAATTCGACGACGGCGAGTGCATCATCTGGTTCAAATTCGACGACGGCGAGTGCATCATCTGGTTCAAATTCGACGACGGCGAGTGCATCACGTGGTTCAAATTCGACGCCGGCGACGGCATCACTTGGTTGAGATTGCTGGGCGCCGGCGACGGCATCATTTGGCTGACGTTCGACGGCGGCGAGTGGATCATTTGGTTCAGTTGCGCGCCCGTCGGCGACGGCATCATCTGGTTGAGGTTGTTCGAGGGGGACTGCAAGATTTGGCTTATGCCCGACGGCGACATGTTTTGGGGCGACGGTAGCGCGAAGCTCGACGGGCTGCCCAGCGGTTTGGCGTGGTTCGCGTCCGACCAGCCCATGGCGTTCTGTTTGTCGGCCACTTGGTTCAAGTACCTGACCATTTCGTCGGGTATGACCAGCTTGTTTTCCACCATTTCGCCCTCGCCCACTTCGTCGAGGACGACGGCTTGGTTGGGGTGTAGTTCGGAGGAATTCACGCTGCCCTTCAGGGGCGACAGGGACACCGAAGCGGGACGTGGTGGTGGACTTTTTCTATCCGTCAACGTGTGACAAGGTTCCGACAGTCTTCGATTATCCGTACTGGTAGTAGTTGAAGGTATATTCGATAACCACGTTTGTTGTATAGCAGTTTGTTGCAGTGACATATTTTGCGTCTGTAGCACTAAATTGCTGTTGTTCGTAGGCGTCGGTGAATTTTGTAATTTTTGCAGTTGACCGGCGAGGAGATGGGAAGGCGGCGGTGGAGGAATGCAAGTACCTCCCGTTGTGGTGGTGGACAATTGGCTCGATCGCCTCGAACTGCCGGCCGATATCGGATCGTAGAAAGAGCCGGGAGCTACTCCAGGCCTCATACTGGAAGCCTGCGAGGCCAAGCTGCTCTTCCGGCTCATGTCGGCGCTTCTCATGCTTCCGTAGTAGGAACTTACTGTCGAATTGCTGTCCCTTCGGATTTGGGCCTGCGTGATTCCCCCGGACGGTTGGAGGCGTTGCTGGAGATCGGTCAGCTGCGTTTTAGTTTGCGCGGTTACGGTGTTGTTGCCTAAAGAGAAATTCGATTAATACTCCGATGATATTCAGTGGTTAAACTCGTACCTTCCATTTTCAAATCGGTTATTCTTCGATTCAAATCGGCGATGTTCTTCCTTTGATTGGTCACCGATGGAATAGCCGTTGGTTTTCCTTTAGTAAGATGCTTCATTCTCACTCTGGGCGTTCGCTCGGTGACCGCTAGGGCTCCCCTCTCGCCGCCGATTCCTACCATCGCCCTTAAAACCACAGGTAACTCGTCGATTTCCAGATCCTCCGCGTCGTAGGTCCACGGAATGTCGTCGGTCGGCGCGAGACTTCCACCGATATCGCCCGGAAGATCGTCGTTAAAACCGCCAAGTCCTTTAAACCAGAACGTAAATCATGCCGGAAACCCGAAGAACCTTCGCTAGTATTACCTGCAAGTTGGGTGGTTCCCAAGGGACTTCCTTGCTGGTGTTGTCCCGGCGAATTGACGTCGGATTCGGACTTGATGCTGGGACTGCTGAGGCTCGCCGTTTTGTGGCTTTGCATGTCTTCGCTGCGAGGACTGGAATCCAGCCCGGTGGGGCCGTCGTCGGGACCTTGTTCCGTGCCTTTGTGTTTCTTGCTGGCGTAGAACTCCGCCCCGTGGACGGTCTTGACGTGCTTGCGAAGCGAGCTGGGATCCGTGTATCTCTTCGTACAACCCGGGGCTTTACATACGTACGGTTTCTAAAAAAAACCACGCGAATATCATACATGTATCAATCAGGGATAGAATTAGTGTGGATTATAAACATTCTACTTACAAACGCATCCATTACAGGTTGCAAATTAGGTAATTTCGAGAAATATTAGTGGCAATTTAGTGATGTTTTAATGAGAATTTTTAATTACCTCGTTGCTGTGCGTACGGTTTTGATGTTTGGCTCTATCCGAAGCGTTGCTGAAGGCCTTCGCACAGCCTGGGTACTCGCAGGTGTAGGGTTTTTCGCCGGTGTGAGATCGCAGATGGGTCTTCAGGTTTTCCAGTCTCGAATAAGCTTTGGCGCATCCTTCAAACTATCATCGAAACGTCGTAATTAAGCGAACGAATAGGGCAAAAACGAACTTGCTTACCGTGCATTTGTGGGGTTTCTCGCCAGTGTGCCGCCTCATGTGAACCACCAGCATATATTGAGCTTTGAACGGCTTCTCCGCCCTCGAACAGCCCTCCCATCGGCATACGAACGATTTTTTATTCGCGTGTATGTGATCGTTGTTGATGTGCTGCGTTAAAAACGAGCCATTTAATAAACGATAAACGACAAATTACCGTTGAAATTTACCTTCACCAGTTCCTCCTGCGTACCGAACTCCGTCGAGCAGTCTTTCCAATGGCAATTGGTCTCGATGAAATCGCCGGGTTCATCCTTGAGATCGGTGGGATCGTTCTGACCGTCCTGGCCGCAGGAATTCGGCGACGGTTCCTTCTTGACCTTCGATTTCCTCGACGTCGAGTCCGCGTCCAATTGAGTTACCGTGCTACTCTCGGACTTCTTTCTGTCGTTTAATAGCTGCAACAACGCGCAACCGTAAAACTCGACCGATCTCTCAGCGCAACGACCACTTACTTCAGTCTTAACGTTGTGAGATACGTGCAGGGGGTGGTGGCCGAGCGAGTACATCGGATGGGGGGGCGGCGCGGCGGGCGGCAGCGGCAGCAGCGAGCCCGAGCTGCGCATGAGGTGCGCCTGGAGCTGCTGCAGGTGCATGGGGTGCATGCCCAAAGCGGGGCTGATCGCTCCGGCGGAGAGATGCCCGTAGGAACCGCTGGCGCTCGACGATCTGGATCCATTTACGATAGACGTGAGGGAGTTGGGCGAGAACCGTATCATGGAATTTATGTCGAAGGAGTCGGAGTAGGGCGACGAGGACAGGGCTCGCTTTCGCGACGCTCGGATGCTGCCTGGTCGGGGACTGTTCAATCTGGAACCTGGAAAATTGTGTGTTGCAATTTTAACGAATCTAACTCTGAAAGAGTGATGGGGAATGGGATGGTGGATTGTATGCTTACCATCTATACTAAATGGAAATTCAGAGCTTCCTAGAGTGGATGCAGGATGGACTTCTGTTAGACCTCTAGCACTTAAGTACTCTGGACTCAATCCCAGACCTGTAAAGAGGACATTTGGTTTACATAAAAAAATAAGACAATGCAGGGTTCCTGTGAATTAATATAGTCTTCTTTTACACCCTAAACAGTGCATAAATATGTGGACAATAGGTTCATGTAGTTGGGAATCAGGAAGGTGTGTGATTTGTGTTTGTGCCTCCCGTGGAAGTTGTTATAAAAATTGTTTTGTTGGACTCCTTTGCTACTACTTAGCGACACGAGTATTCACGTGCTTCCCAACCAAAATGCAGATGTTTTAAATTTACCACGAGACTTCCAGTTAAATCTGAAAATAGAGCCGGTGCAACGCGTCATTTGGCAACACTTTCATCGACCGGTTTTCTTGTCTATTTACGAGTCCGAGACTGGGCCTTCCGGTTTCACTAATTTCGATTTTTTGGTTCGAAGCGAACGGTAAAAGTCCAATTTGTTTTAATTGACTGCTCACTTCGTTGTTAGTTAATTAAATCAGAGCTTCCATAAATAGATTTTTTATTGTCGTAAAGATTCATTGTAGGCATTTTGTATATTAAATTTAATAGAAATAGAGTGTAGCTTTTAAAAGCTCGGCTATACAAACAACAAAAACTTATGGTTTCCGTATAAATATATCGAAACACAATGCCAACGCGCCGTAATAACGCTTTGTTTGTAAAATGACTGCACCGTTAAAATAAAATAAAACGACAACCTAAAAGCAGACCATTGAGAAAACGTGAACCGAAATAGAATTTAATTCTTCCTTAAAACCAGATGCGCACAGCGGTTCATGCATGTGTTCACGAACGGCTCTCGTAAAAGTCCCATTCCCGCGCCCCGGCCCATTTTTATGGGTGACTGTAAACTACCACGAACTCTGTGAAGTGGTCAAAAAGGATAACTTTCTTTGATCTCCGAACACGAAACCCCCTTCAAGCGTCTTATCTGTTCCTTCGAGGGACACTGTTCGAAATTATGCAGCCACGTTTATAATTTGACAGCCATTTATTTATTCAGGCTCTTTATTGTTACGGTTATATTGGAGCCAGGTATTGTATTCTTGTCCTAAAGAAGTCAATGATGGTGGGTATAAAGCTATATTCTATAGGGTTATTTTACTAAAAGAATCCCAATTTTCAATTGGTTTATGCAACAAATTTTGTTTATTTACCAAAAAAAAATAAACCTCGTTTTATCCAGTAAACTCCCTTAGATACAAACAAACAACAACCGCTTTACCACACATACAGAGGCCGCATTATTGGTAGAATGATTGATATTATCGGATCAGATGGTATCTCTTGGGGGCATTATGCAATCATCCGATCTTGAGGATCCTGTCAAAGGAATTTTCTAAATGGAGATATCCGGTAGTTTTTAGTGAAACAATCACGGGCTTGTAACTCGAGCGTGCATACGGGCCGAGAGAAGGGAGAGCGAGGGAGAAATAAAAGAACCGCGCGATTGTTTTATGGGGCTCCCGTTGAAAAAAATACGAAGGAAAACATCATCGCGGGCGTACTAATACGAAAAATAACCTCGCATCCGGTTCTGAAGCGTTAACGAGAGTCAAACGTAACGTTACGTGTTTAGTTGCCGAGCAATAAATGCGTTTATTATGCCCATAGGTATTTGTGTGCTTTAAACATGCGTGGAAATCGTTTGGAAATAGAGCGCCATAGGCGCCGGTTTTGCTCGATTTTTTTCTTAATAATCCAATCAATTTGGTGAGAACAAACGATTCAAAAAAAAACTAGAATCTGAATATTTAATTCGTAATAAATAAAATTAATTCGAATTTAAAGTTCGATAAAGTAATCAACCAAAAACAGATAACGTTTAATGGTTAGATCGCAAATCAAACGAGTCTACATCAGTATCGGTTAATTAACACCGTTCCGATTCCGTTGCAACATTTTAATATATTCCCGACGTAGTTAATACCGTAAATTTCATCCGAGATTATTCGGAATAATTGGATATTGAGCAAGTTAAATCAATAAAGACTTTATTTTATGGCAATAACGGCCATGTTTGGTGGCAAGCTGAGAGGACGCTTCTTCATGCTTATTTTATTAAACGTTAAAATACCGAATTGGAGTCGAATCAGATGAACCAGGCCCGGACTTGCTCCATTTTAAACAAATATTGATTCATAATAATGATAACCATAAGAATTATGTCCATAAGAATTTGGTTTTACTTACTAGTCCATTTAATTGTATTTTAAAACAGTCCTTTGTAATATTTTAATCAAAAAATACATACACTTCTAAGGAATTTGATAATAATGTGTTTAATATTGGTTTATAGTAGAAGCTTATTCATTATAATAACTTTGACATAGGGATTTGTGTAGATTCTGGATTTTAGTGCAAATTTACAGACACAATCTTGTGTACTCAGCGATTTAGAGTCCGGATCTGTTTATCTCATTTTATTGTATATTAAAATATCGAATTGAAAGCCCGTAAAAATGACATGCCGACATTTATGACGGACCCGTTTTACCGATAAACCCATAAATATAAAATTTTTTATGTTTGCGTTTATAACAGAGTGTGGAGTGCGTTTTTTTTCCTCGTTCGCTTTAATGGATTTTCGGATTCATTTAGCGCACGTTTATCTCCATCGGGAATTTCGCGAGATATCGCCCGATTGAGATATAATTTTACGCCGATTTTTGTGAAAGTATTTAATTTTCCGAAGATCAAACGCATTCGACATTGTATCCATTTACATTGTCCGTCATCCCGATGTATAGCATTAGCATAAGAAACGAAGACGGAATGAAAATAAACACTGGATGTTCATAAATAAACCTGTCGTTTGGGTATATAGCAATGAAAATAAACACGTCTCACGCAAAAATAAATCATTAAAACCGCTATAAATATATATAAATGGACTGCTCGGAGTCTGGAGCATGTGTCCGCCTTTTGTTTTCTTTCATTCATTCCAAAGATTTACTATCGCGACTATAGCGATAAATTAATTCCCGTAAAAAAATCTAGGAGGATTGTTAATACGATTTTTACCTTTGTACGAATACGAGCTACCAAAAACTATTTATTACCTACGCACACAATAAGCTTCTCCTTTATTGTGGATATTTTTCTTTATGCATATATTCCTTCGGTGTTTATTCTCACTCAATATATTAGAAAACATTCCATCCAAATAGTAAATTTTTTTTATTGTCCGTTAGATCACCCGAGTGCTGTTATTCTAATTACAATAATTATAACTCTAACGCCTACCAGATAACGATGTTCATTTTAAACTCGATTGTCTGCCCTGTAATTATTTAAATTCTTTTCGATTTCTTTTCCCGTCGAGATTCTCTTACTTATAAATGATTAATTGAAACGCTATCAAACGCTGAGGCACAACCAATTATTCCAACGAAAACGAATTACTTTTTACATAGAATTGTTCGATAATCTACACTAGAATGTTTATAGTAGGTGTTACTATTCGTAGAAAATGGAATAATAAAATTTACACTCTAATTTTAATAGCAAAATTTAAGTACGGTGTATGTTTTCTGTTTGGATTAATAAATACGGGAGGCGGCGCGAAAGTTGAAAGAGATTTAATGAAAATTAAAGTACCGCATAAACTGTCTATAAATTTTATATCTCCCGTAATCATCGTAAACATTATACAATGTAGTTTAAATTTAAAACTCGCTTTGTCGGATATCGCAAGTAGTAGCAGTATGGCAGCACCAGCAACCAAACAACACGCTTAATAAAACATGACTGATTATTTATGGACCGTCTGCGATCGCGGTCGATTAATAATTCCTCTTATGCACAAATTATCTCATTTCTTACGTTTCAAACCGTCGACGTGCATGCTATCTAACGCCGTCGGCGTCGATTCGAATATTATTTTATATATTTTTTTGGTTTTACTGTTGACTTCACGCGTCCGCGATTGGAGTTCTCGCTTAATTAATTCGAAGAATTTCCACGGAAGGGTAATATTTCAAATAAATGTAGCGTGCTGGTAACGAGAAAATGTTTATTTTCGGATAACCGGCGCCTCGCGAGCGGTCTCCGACAGGATGTCAAAATTTTAGGTGAATACGATCGGTGAACCGATTCAAAAAAAAAATGTATGAGATGGTAAAACTTACCGTGAATGGAGTTATTCGTGGAATGTTGAAGAGAATACAAGTACTCCATGTGTGGAGGCAACCGATATGCCGGATGAAGTTCTCTGCCAAGAAGTAGACCGCTTCCAGGACTTCCACCAACACTAGAACAAATACAATTCTTCATTAGACACCTATAAATACTTCAACAGTAAAGTTGAAAATATAATTAGTTCCATTTTCAAAAAAAAACCTCAACAATTATCTTGTTTTTTTTGTAATTCTCATTCTCTCTACAACATATTTTCGATTCAATTCGTTTCGAAACGACAAAAACCGAACCGTTATTTAACAATTTGCTGTTGAGTAATTCGAAAATTTACAATAGAAGAAACCGATATCTTTTTCGATTTCGATGGACGATTAGCCATCTCATCTCCCGACGAACGCTTATAAATAATACACTTGACTTATCTACCGAGTCATTGCCCTAACTTAATCAAGGACAGACATTCTCAATTGAGAAATAAATGAGTCAATCTAAAGGCTTTATTCGTTTGGAATACTCTTAATTAGCGGATAGTTCACTAATGATTTTCGAGTAACGCTCGATTAATTTATGTGGCATGTTAAACTAAGGGTTAATGCAACAAAAAAAAATTCGTACACAATTCCACTAATCGATTTCTTCCATGTTAACTTTAAAGGTTCGGTTATTCGAAATTTTTAAAATAAAAACCACCAGTCATCGTTTCGAATTACTATTTAGACGCAGTTAAATGCCGAGGAGATGTAAGCGAGATAGGCATTTTAAATTCGTAGACAGGCTCTATTAGAATTTTAGATCTAATCTTTTGAAAAGTTAATCATTTCAGGTACCAATTGTGTAGATGAAAAATAAACAATGTGTCTATTTGCTAAGTAAATGGACTTATTATGCGCCTTCGGGGATTTTTCCTGTATAGTGGCGACCGAAGACATTTATAATTAATGTTCTTAGTTCGTTAATAATCCTTGCATTTTGTTTTGGGTAAAACTGTGGGTTCATATAGAAGTAAGTTATTTGATAAAAAAATGATTTTTTGGTAGCCTCAGGTAGGTACCTATATTGCCAGTAGAAATTTGTTTATGATTTTGGAGAAAAGCATAGCAAATGGATCGGTTGTGGAGCTTTGTACCGAATGCGGTTGGCGCTCTTTCATCTACAAATTGGCCTATGTTACGTAGGTACAAAAACATCGGTACGGAAAGAAAGGAAATGAAGCGGTTTACGGTTCAATCAGAAACGAACGAGTCGCTTCATATTTATTCAAAAGGCGATTCGTTCCGTCGTAGACGGTCGCATCGTAAACAAATTGTCGAATTATACGTTCGATGCTAATGAAAAGGGCAGTAAAAACTTTTTTGCGCTCTTTGTTTTCGAAAAAACAACTGCATTATGGGCGACCCACACTCGTTTTCGAGCCGGTGCTCCGGACGCTCCGATCATCGGCGATTTGAATACGACCCGATAGGTGTTTTATGCGACGATCCTGCCACTTAAACAGCTAAACAGTCGGCGAATCCCGCCGGTCGCGACCAACGCCTTATTTTATTTGGTCAACTGCTTCACGACACACCTGATAATGTAGTCTGGATTTAGCTTTTATACGTCCATAAAAAGTTACGGCAGTATTTTTAAAACCCCGCACAATTAACAGCTCGGGACGCATCAGCAGTAGGTAAAAGAGATTGAATAAATACTCACTCGAGAGTCGCCGAGATGGGACCTGTTTATGTAATGTAGAAACAGAGGAGAGAGAAAATGAGAAAAAAAAAAACCAACGGACGCTTCGAAATGAGTTGGAAGATAGCCGAACCCTCGGGTGTCGTGATGCTCATCAGTTTTTAAAACTGTTTATACGTCGGTACGACATGACAGATATGATTCGAATTAAATATTTGATCTTTCCATACGAACGATCGTTGTAATTAACTTTTAATGGATTGTTAACCAGATGAAAGGGTATTTAGGAATCTACTTAGTTTTCGGATTACCAATTAGTTTCTTACAAAGTTGGATATTTGTTGTAAATAAGCATGAGCTGGTTCATATACATATTCCAGCAATCAAAATGAATTAGCGAAAAATAATATAAAAGAGTCGGTTGTCTGGTAAGAGCCTTGCCCAATCGTTTCGTATTGTAGTCATCGATTTCTCGATCCGAACCTATCATTTTCGTCAATATAATAACGACATAAATCATTTGAGCTTGTGTCTGCGCTGTTCTGCGTAGGCGGTTACACGATTTGCAATTGTTTTGTTAAACTCTGTTGACACTAAAGGAAATTAATGTGCGCCCGGCCGGAGAGAAAGAGGTCTTTGAACGGTAACAATTACTCGATACCTGCATGTAATTTCAGTTTATTAAAGCGCTCAATTATGTAATAGAAATTATGCTAATGCTCGTTTAATACAATAGAGATAGTTTTGGTTTAATAGTTATTGGGTTTGTGTGTATTCAATTCGCTTTGATTTATGCATAGGTATGCAATTTTTTGTCTTGTGGTTCGTTGGCTTCTGATGTTATCTGTTACTTTCCATTTCGCGACTTTCAATAAAAAGAAACCCGAAAGATAAATTGTAGCTGGAAACATCGACCTGTAAAGTTTGTAAAATAGTTTTCGAACCGATCATTATGCGCAATATTCCCGGTGCATGTAGCTCGAAAGTGCCAAGGAAACAATGCGCGAGCCAAGAATAATGTCCTTTCTGGTGATATCTTAAATAAGAGTGGTGGTCGTACGTGTTCCGAGATAAACTGCTCGGACTAGTCCGAAAAGAACTTTCCGTGTACGAGATCCTATCGAACAAGGGGATTTTAGCAAAGCTTCGCAATCTTTTATCGGCAGGTGGTACGATCGCAGCACCCACTCGATTGTGCTATTTATGGTACGAAAATACCACGACGATACGGTAATGGCGCGACTGAAAAAACGATTCCAATACCATATTAATATCTTCTTAAAAGAAACTAATAGTTGGAAGATAATGCGGTGATGAACACGTTCGTCCAATTAAAAGCGAAATGCGATAGCAGGAAAAAACCAGAAGGTGCTGAAAAGTTTTCGAATCAAGCGATTTCAGCTAATTAGCGGCAGTTAATTTGAATAAATTACCAATTCCGAGCGCCATGCATATTCAAACGCACGTTAGAAGGCCATTTGCATAGAACAAGACAGCGTGTTTGTTCGTTCGCCATGGTGTGGGCATACCAAGAAAAGCCAGTTGCCACTATAAAACTGTACAACTGAATCCGAAACGATCCCGCGCCAGGCCGCTCGTAAATACGATATCCCATGAAACGTTTCATCGGGAATATGTTCTCTTTATATCAACATCAACACCATACTTTATACCTTCCATATTACCTGTACAGTTATAAATCGCTTGTTTAATAGACCAATTTTTATCCACATTCATTAATTTCCTACAAAAGAACACACAACAATTTGTAACGCCGAATTCGAAATTTCAAATAGTTGCTCCATCATGCATAATATACGTCTAATGCATATCAATTGTTGAACAAAAAAAATGATTGATGAATTTAAAGTCGGTAACGGATTCGATTGCGTCAAGCCTTCATACGAAAGTAGGTGTACCTATTTGTCAACAGGCTCGATGGATATCTATCAGTTCCATTTCGATTTCTTTCTATTGAAAGTTAATTGTGGAAGTCTTCAAGTTTTCACCTCTTTATACATTTGTACATTTAGTGCAATCGATCCCTGTATTACCTATTGGAAATAATTTTTATGTGTGCTTCGTCCTCGTTTCTCGGCCTCGTTGATAAGATTCAACAGCGAACGATCTCGTGCCCGTCGGGAACTCAATTTAGCCTCGTACCCTTTTTTTTTCCTCTCTCGAAATTTAACTATTTTATTTTATCGGAGAACGCGCAATTTTCGTCATAAATCAGAAGGTTCGCATTTCAAACGGGAGATTTCGGCGTCGATAAATAACGAAATCATGAATAAATCCGATCGGTCGAGCATTATAAAAGCGATCGAACGTGAACGATAAAACCGATCCGCTTTTCTATTTTATAATTAACCGATTACTTTCTTCGGGTATAATATAGGGCGATTTTTCGTTTATACCCCCAACACTGGTCGAATTCTTTCCCGATGAAAATAAACTAGTCGAGTTTCGTAAAGCGTTATTCGCTGATCTTGATACGGGTGCCTACTTGACTATGCCAATTAAGTCCGGATCGACCCACCTCGGTCTTAGATTACTTCGCTACGTTTCACGTGACCGTAGGTGTTAATAAGGCTTATCTCGGGACGGTACGGTGGCGTGCTTCCATGTTCGACTTTAAGGTCGGGGATGTCTATATATCTCAAGGTTGCATTGGACAATATCGCTCGAATTACCATTTTAGCTACATTGTAGTAGGCATTGTCAACAGAAAAATGCAGTAAATGCGTTCTAAATGATTCAGTTATGCAACCCAACTTGCACTTGTAGTATTAACAACAAGAATAAATGAGTTTAGATTTAGGGTGAGGTGAATTAGTAATGGCTTTTAAAAGGAGCTTTATTATAATTGCGATCGTTTATTTAAATTTGTCAGTCGTCGTTTGGAGTGTTCGAATAGATCGAAGATACGGTTTGGTTTGTATTTATGACTAGCGATTCGCGAAATTGTGCAATTATTTCAGAAAAACGAGAACACTTCGACGAAACAACGGCGAATCGTGTAGCCACCTACGCGACGCCGTCTGAACGATATATGGAGTGTGTATGAACATTGTTGCGATTTTTTTTTCGTCTATACGCGTGGAATTTATTTATATTTTTGCGCGAGGCGCGATATACAGTTGCGTGGGGATCGACGCCTATTCGGAATACGAAAAAAAAGTTTTTTTAACGATCCGAACTGTTGATGTAAATCAGTAACGAAAAACGCGTCAACAACAATTATCATATCGTAAATAATAATCCGATCATTGACTTTTATAGCGATGATAAATCACCGGTTAATTAATATTTTCGTGGGACGTTTATATTTGAATAACTCTCTCTCCTGCTACGTCCGATATACGAATTTTTATCTACTCACTGCTGCGAGTACGGGCGTTAAAACGGAATTTACAAGCCGATAGATTCGTGGACGTTTTTATTCCGAGTTGTCAAATAAAGAAAAAATAATTTACCACAGCGTTTGCCCAGGCCTGGTTAGAAGGGAATTATTTATTGGATAGGACGGTCCTCTAAAGATGCTCAGATTATGATTTGAATAATTAGAAATTTAAGAGGACTCGTTACGACCATTTTTAATTTATTATCTATATAAATATTGTCTCACAATTTTCATAATAATTTATAATAGTTACTACAGCAGCTTCGCTATTATTGGTAGAATTAAATACATGTTTTTTGGGGTAAGAATTTTATTTCAATCAAATTAAGGCGGCTCGTGCACAGGCGAAATTCGTGTCCGATCATCTTAAGTGAGGAATAATTATAAATTTAAATAAAAGTCCCGTGAGGCGAGATCGGGTATCAAGAGGGCGGAGGGAACTTACTATGATGAACGACTATATTATACCTTTGGAGGAGAACCGGATTTAGTAACTTCATCATCATTTACCTCTGGCACTCTTCTTTTTCTCTACCCTGGACCGGAATCGGGAATTTCCAAGCCCTTCATTAATTAGCTTTCATTAAAATATTCGGAGCAACTTCTTTTGATTTGTATCCCTGCCAATTTATTGGCCCAAGTGGCAATTTCATCATTAAGGTACTTAATTTTGATCATTTATAATATTTACTAGATCCCAATACAATCACATTATATGCTTTAATAATATCATCACATTGCCTTTAGGTCTCCTCTACAATTATGTTTTTTTTCTACCGATTAATTTAGTTGTCCTTAAGCAGGACCCTCGCAGGAGTCCGGTACTGGATCTTTCTTGGATATTCCTTATTCTCGGTTCGGGCGGTCACGACGTATAACAAACTGATGCGCCTCTCTCGAGGTGGAAATTTTCTCATCATTTCGGAGTACCTTTCGAGTGGACCTTTCATTATATTTTTCGAGAGATTACACGGTCGCGAAATTGTTTGGTCGTGCTTCGGTTTCCATCGAATTTATAGAGCCATTAAATGGGGCTTTATAAATAAAGTCGTTCGTTTGATTGTAATTAGCAGTAATTCATCGTTGGTTCGATAGGTTTATTCGATGTTACGTCGAATTGGAATTGTAACAATATTTTCGAGATGTAATTTATCGGTTTAAATAAAACCAGTCAATATTCAAGTGTTAATGCGCCGGATTTTTGGAATATTTCGCCGACAATTAAACTAATTAACCGGCGGTTTGTTTCTTCCGTTTAATTCCAGAGGCCGTAATTAAACTTATTACCCATATTATAAAGCCTTGGACTATAATTATTTTTAATCGCAATAATCTGGAAATTTTACCGGGATTACTCCGGTAAACCGGTTCGGATATTTCAGATCGTTAATTTTTTAGAGAATTAAATTAAATCATAAATTTAACGGCCTAACTTAATTATTAAACGATTTTTTTTAATAAAACAAAACATATTGCTGTAATAACCGTCACAGTAATTCGATGAATTTAAATTAATAGGACGCACAATTGGTTACATAAATTTTATGTATAGTTTTTATCAGATACAATTAGGTCAAACGCTTGGTCTAATTGACCCTATTATGTTCAAAACGAGTAATTAGCATAAGAGAGCGTTGCATGTCAATTAAAGACACGTTTCTCGGAAAGTCGGGTATATTTTTTTCTCTAAACGGTACCATCCGAACAAAATCATAGGAATTTGGTTTTCTAAAATCCGAAGAAATCGACTGAATGAATGGTTTATACCTACATTCTTTATTATCCTGTCCTTCGTTTTTATATACGCAGTCATATTACTGACTGGAGCGGTTCCTTTTAACAAACAGGAAGCTTTTATACCTGCGCACTTTTTTTCGAGACAGTATCGAAAAAATTCAGATTAGGTACCTACTGAAGAAGGTATAAACGAAGCTCCACGACGATTCACCAGCTATACAAAAAGATATTGGATTTCCACAAAAATCCGTTCGAAAAATGAAATGTTTAATCAAACACTCGAAAGAGCAGGTGAAGAGAACGTACCGGTCAATTAGTGACGAAAAACAAGTTTCGCTTCAATTAGAAGAAACATATTTTAGATAACGATCCTCGAAAGCGACGGTTAGAGCTCGGTTAGAATAAACATATAAATTTTATTCGGTTTTAATCGCCTAACGATGAAGATGAAATAGAAGTTTCTTGTGGTTTATATCTTACAATTAATCTCGTACATGTTTTATTTTCACAATCGTTTTTTTAACTAGGTAGATATACTGCTCCACAAAAGTTCACAAATATTGAGATTAATTTCAAAGTTGCAGGTTTTTTGATTGCCAAATTTAGTATGAGTTGTAGAGGTATAGGGGAAAAATATCCACTTGTAGATATGAGAGAAAACATTTAATTTCGCATATTTGTAAATTTGGTCATCAAAAAGTTTTAAAATAATTGCAAAATTTGCGAACTTCCTTAACTTTTGTGAAGCAGTTTATTATAACATCAAAAGCTATTGAAAATACCTTCAAAATAGAAATCAAAGAAATTGATTTGCGTCTGAATTTTGCATTTTCGCATCGAATAATTTATTTCGATTATAAAAACAAACACTGCACGTACTCGACTAGATAAATCACGGCGGCGCATGAAATACGAGAAAAACCTTGTCAGGTCTTTATGGTCTTCGACCAATTATTCTTTAAGATAGATGACTACATAAAACGAAACCAAATATTTAGTCGTAAATTTATTTAGGAATAACAAAACAACACGTACTCGCAATTAAAATAAAAAATATATAAAGCTCGTATATTATGTAGCGCGAATGTTGAAGCGTTAATTTTTATAAGCACACTGGCGGAATTCTCACTCGCCGGGTTACTGTTCTGATCGGCTATTGATGTCTCTCTATACAAGCATTAATTAGATTTAATTTTACTTACATTTAAGAAGAAAATCGATGGAAAAATTCAGGTATATTACGATTTTATATAGACTAGTAAAAAACGATTATATCACAGAACGAAAAATTGCACTATTTGGTACTAAAATTAGAATCACAACTTGATGAATTGACTCGCAAATTCACAATACAAAAGAACTGTAATTTCAAAACAATTCCTCAAGTATTATCGAGCATGTTCGTTACAAATCGAGCACAAATACAGATTCCTATATAAACATTCGAAGCCAACAGTATTGTCACTTGTCATACGCGTAAAAACCGTGCGACACCGACAGGCTCGCGCACCTCGCCAGCCCAACAAAGCCGGGCCATCACCATCAGACCATCAACGAGCAATCGATACAACCAATTCGACCGGCGAAAGCGCTCTTCGCATAGAAGCCGAGATGGTACTGAAAGCCTGAAACGGAACGCTGAAAAGTCGCCGGTAAACCGGGCGGTGGCGAAGAAGTACCCGACGAGCGAGAGCGAGACGCACTTCTCGCACACACACACACACACACACAAACCGACCACCCATACCGCTAGACCAATCTCGGCGCAGAATGTCTTATTTCGAACCGACAATATAATAAAAGACAATCGCGAGGCAGAAGGAAGAAATGAGACCGCGAGGATGATTGAGCCGTGGATATCGCGAACTGCCAGGGGCGAGTCGAAAGATGGCCGGTCGAAGGAAGATAAGAAGAAGAAGAGTTAGGAGAGCGGCGCGGCGGTACGTGCGCTCGATGACAGAACTAATGATCTCGACTCGCGATTTAAGGCCGATGGTACTTCGTACACAACACGCTATTAGGTACTGCCTACAGGGTGTTACTACTATACATATTTTTTATCTAATTTATATTTTTCTAACTCTTCTATACAACCAACTTATTAACCATTTCACCAAAATAATCAACACTTATGCAATTGACTCTATTATAATTAAATATACAATGAGACTACAAATATGTCTAACGTGACAATTATCAGGTAAACAAATAACTTGCTAACACTAATCACGTAGCAGGATAAATAAAGAATGCCATTTATATTTAAATTCGCGACATTGAGAAACTGTACTAATACCAATTCGCTTGAGGTCGAATAGATTTTGCAATAGGTATATCTATACAAAATTCGCCATCGATTAAAGTAGGTTTGATTTTTTGGTGCCACCCGGTATGCTATTAAGACAGTGGATGTATATAGAGATAGGAAAGGCGCGGGGGAGGACGGGACGACACTTCGGTTTCACAGCATAATAACAACAATGCGCTTCTCCATCAACAATAACTCTATCTTTCTTAATAACTTTATGACTATATCGATTCGGGCTGCACAAAAGGCCCGTAATTACGGAGTTCCTCTTTATATTGGCCAAGATGCTCGACAAGGTCGTACCGTTTCGCTTTTATCTGGGTACTAATGCACACCAAAAATGTATACTTGTATTTTTTTAACTAATTGTGTATGCTTTACGGAGGCTAATTACAACCGTTAATACGTCAATATTTGGTATAACCAGTCGAAAATAACATTCCTTTACGCTTAAAAGCCCATTCACACAACCAGCATAAACACCTTTTACAACGTGATAATTATTTTCTTATCGCTCAAGCGATCGAGAACAAAATAAACAATGCCGAACGGAAATTCTATGAAATCTTCTCATATACGAAATCAAATGGAGTGTAACGCAATCGCGGCGTGAAATTTCTAGTTGTTCGTCGAACGAACGGCCAATTCAAACATAAAAAAAAACGCCATTAACTCGGTGATTTTGCTGCAAAGTAATAAATTCATCAATGTAAAATAAAACCGCGCCGGTGTCTGAAAAATAAATTAAGTTTTGATACAATTTTAATATAGGGTTTCAGCGCCACCAGCTGTTGTTGCATCGAAATTCAAACAAAACCAAGACGTTAACTGGACCCGGGTCGAAATTAAGACCATGGCGAAATTATTTTGTATGCGCAAAGTCGAAGCTTCCACCGCGGTTACATTATTTAAAACCAACTCTATAATAAGTTGTACAATTTAATTGAATTGCGCATGAAGAATTGTGTTTTATTAAATGAATTCTAATGAAATACATACAAAATATTAGTGGCTTGTATTTCAAAGTTGTCAAAGTTCGTGCCTACGAATATAAGTAATTCGAAGCTCCTCGGGCAGCTGCACCGTGATGTTTTTTTACGATAAATCATGACCGGAATGACGGTTTTTTTACTTTATTAAAAATTAGGCGTTCTTCGTCGTACGAGAAAGAGTGATTCCAATTTTGATTCAGGCAATTAGTCTTAATAAGAAACGCCCAAAATGTTCATTATATGTCTTCATTTTCATCGAAAATTCTTCAAAACGGAAGTAGTTAATGAAAAAAAAATTGTTATCTTTTGTGAACTTTTGTTTAGAAATATCATTATATTTTATTACTTCATTAGTAAGTAAAAATACCATCGTATACTTCTCTTATTGTGATTTGTTAAAAACAACACGACAACCTGTTAAATTTACAAACCTTGAATAGGCACGATATTTTTAAAGTATGTAACTAATTAATCCGCTGGACGTGACACGAAAATTAACTTTAATTTATTCGAGCAATTTGTGAAAGTCGCGCAAGTGCAACAAATTTTTTTTTGCCAGGTTAATGTATGTCGCATTTAATAACCCTCTTCGGCCCGAAAACAGGCAAGAAAGCCGTTACGACTTTATTTACAATGCGATTCTCTGCCGACGAGAACGACCGGGAGAAATTACAATGTTTTTGTAAATAAATAAATTGCGTGCCGGAGACATATAAGTTACGTTTCGAAACTGCTTTTTGCGCTCGACAATAAGGAAGCGGATTAACAATTTAGATGTAAATGTTGTGTACTCGAACTGATCTTGTTGTGGGATTAATTTTTTTTGTAAATAATATTTCGTACCTCGCGTATGTAAATTTCTCTTTTTGTAGAAAAAGGAGTATCTCGCTAACTTTCAGCATGAAACTACCATGCAAATTTGAAACAAAAGGAAGCATAAATAACAGTAGACAGTTGGTCCTACTAAACCGAATTGAAATAAAACCAAAAAAGAAGGGAGAATAACCTATTAATCTTGTCCGTTTCGGTAACCTGTTATCTGATATCCCCAGCTCGGCGTATAGTCTCCGTTCCTATACTAACGCTAACAATGTTCGCATAAAATTATACAAAAAAAAAGTTAATAACAATAGTTTTATCGATAAATCAACGTATCATTATACTGGGAAAAGTTTTTCGGAATGGGATTACGAGCCGTAAAGTAAAATAATCGCCCAGTTCTGCGACTGATCGATTCCACCAGAAAAAAAAAACGGATAAAATCAGTGGAGCATCTCGAGGAATCGTTTCTTACAAAAAGCCTCACCGAAAACGAGTTAAATTAAGTCATAAAATGGTCGCCGCGAAAAGCGAAATCATGCGTAAAGAAAATGTCGATTACACTCGTTGTAGATATCGGAAAAAAACTCCTTGTTTGGTAGAAATATGACGGCAGTTAGTGCACTTGAGTGAATAATGAGTTTTCTAGTTGAAGCTGCTGAAAAAAAAAACGCGCCGCTACTACAAATCACTTTATTATTAGCCCAAAGAGAAACCCGCTCATTCTCTCTTTCGCACACATTCGCGCCGTAATAATTGAGATATGAGCGAAGGCGAAGAGGAAGAAGACGAAGGAATCGAAGGAGAACGCGGAGAATCTATACGTTCGTTCGGTCCCTCTGCGGTTAGAGGGGCGGTCTACGGCCACGATCCCGAAACCAGTAATTGCATGTAATTTTCTTTTCTCATACTTCATTTTCTTTTAAGTACTCGTTTCGTAGTTTTCGATGATGACGCCTCTCGGCTCGAACGCTCGAATTCGACGTGCCCTGGGATAACGTTTCGTGAGCCGTTTTCGAAACGTAATACGCCAGCAATCAGGATCGGATCCACTAATAAAAATACCTCTACTCGTCAAATTCCTCCATCTAAACTTCGATCGCATTTTCCCTTTAATCACGCGCATACAAAACGATAATTAGAAGGATTCGAGCTGGTGCAGTATGATATAACATTGACGGTAGTATGATAAAGGATTATGTGAAAAGGATCCGTCCCTGCGTTCGCAGTCGTTTCAGAACCACCGGCTTTAAATAAGTGTTTAAGTCGAGTCGTATCTCACGACAGGTTCGTATGAAATAAAGCAATCTGGAATTTGAGAGAATTCGCCCGCGGGGGGCGCAACGAGTCTATTAACACTTTTCTCATTCTAACACTGGAAGCCGCCATTCGCAATCGGCTAAACGGGCGGTCGAAAGCCGTCCGCTATAATTCGCGTGTTACATACGAATGGAAAAAAAAAGTTGTCTATTAGATTAGCGCGCTAACCGATGCCTAGATCGGCACGGAACGCTAATTATATTGTGCGTATTTACGTACAGAAAATTGCCAATCAGTCACTAACACCTGCAGATTTATATGCGTTTGATCAGGAGTCCCTCAGTAACACCTATTCTAATTAATCATTAACAATAACTAGCGAGCTAACGATTATAAAAACCACCGAATTTCGATTCATATTAACGCAACGTCCGAGGAATTAATGATGCGCTTGGCAACCGTGAACGATTTCATGATTGGTTCATCAGAGACCTGTTTAATTAATGATTCGTGGTCCGGTAATTATTAGGTTATAATTTTGTTTGTACTTACTCGACCGCTCTCATTAGGTACTGCGGCTTTTCGTGACTCAAATCTCCCTCGACTTACCTGCAACGAAAAAAAAGAAAAGAGATTAAATAAAGTATAACGGCGTTAATAGAGAACGATGGTCGCGGCGGTTCGAGTGATGGGAACGGGACGAGGTGATTAACGCGCGATCTGGAAGGGTTTTACTCGATGCTAATTAACGAAAAAACCGGGAATTTCTAGTTTAAATTCGAAATTAAATTAAGACGTTTTTGGAATAAATTTACGGCGGCAAAAAAGTCTAATTAACGGGCGTGTTGCTTGATGGTAGAATAACGTAATAAGATTTTTTTTATCGGTTTTAATAATGACAATTAAGACGAATGAGTTATTACCGAGTTAATCGAGATAATTAGCGCAAACGCTAATCCACATCTACCTGAATAATCGCACTTGTGCATAGCAGGAATAATCAATTACGCGCTCGATGATCGCTCGATGACCACAAACATTTTTACTAAACGGCGAATAGGCCGGGATTTCGTTTCATTAATTCAACATAACCGACATGTTTATAGTGTACATATTTTACTCGAAGGTAATACCCCGTATATTTTTTCCCATATTTCCCATAAACATACAAATGGGTTTCTTATGCAGAGCGCCAACCGACCGAGTCACAGTCTAGTTAGTTCGCGTTATTGTTACACGTTTGAATACGACGGGCATTAATGCATATGGAAACAAAAAGCCTTTCGCAAAATAAACGCTCGTTAAAATGCACTGAAATAATGTAATTTGCATAAAAACTTGAGCATATTGACTAATCAAAGTATATGCCTATCTACATTAAAATTGATCACCAGATAAATTAACTGGTAGTTATTACGCTACAAAGCAATTATTCTTCGATTGATCGCGTTCCAACCCTTCCAATCGAGTCACTCCGCTCGAATTAAGCGATTTCATTGCGCAATAAACACGAAAATTCAGTCCCCGAACAAAAGGTCGGCGGGAT